TGAATGTGCACACCAACATCCAGGCTGTATGCGCTTAGGATAAATTGCAGATCAGGACCCTCAACAAGTGTGCCCCCTTCATTGACAAGGTGCCCTTCCATTAACCAATGTTTGGCTGTTCCCTTCCCTCCCCTACCCTTCCCCACCTCTAGTAACCACTATTCTACTCCCTACTTGTATGAAATCAACCTTTTAACTTTCCACATGAGTGAGAACACGCAGTATTTGTCTTTCTGTGCCTGGCTTATTTCTCAAACATAATGTCCTCTAAGCCCATCTATGTTGCTGTGAATGACAGAGTTTCATTCTTTTTTATAGCTAAATAGTATTCTACTGTGTATATATACCACATTTTCTTTATCAGTTTATCTGTTTATGGACACTTAGGTTGATTCCCTATCTTGACCATTGTGGGATAATGATGTAATAAACATGGGAGTGTAGCTTTCTCCTTGACTTACTGATTTCCTTTCCTTTGGATATTTACCCATTAGTAGAATTGCTGGATCATATGGTAGTCTATTTTTAGTTTTTTTGAGTAATCTCTATACTGTTTTTCATATGGCTATACTAATTTACACCAACAATGTATGAGTTCCCTTTTCTCCAAATCCTTGCCAGCATTTGTCATTTTTTCTTTTTGATAATAGCAATTCTAACCGAGGTGAGATGATAGCTCATTGTGATTTTGATTTGTATTTACCTGATTCTTAGAGATTTTTAAAAAATATATATACCTGTTGACCGTTCGTATGTCTTCTTCGTGAGACAGGGTCTCGTTCTATTGCCCAGGCTGGAGTGCAGCGGCTCAATCTCGGCTCACTGCAGCCTCAGTCTCCCAGGCTTAGGTGTGAGCAGCTAGGACCACAGGTCCATGCCACCACCCTCGGTTAATTTTTTTGTGTTTTTGTAGAGACAGGTTTCACCATGTTGTCTAGGCTGGTATCAAACTCCTGGCCTCAGGCAATCCTCCAGCCTCAGCTTCCCCAAATGCGAGGATTACAGGTGTGAGCCACCACGCCTGACCTGTATATCTTCTTTTGAGAGATGTCTGTTCAGCTCATTTGTCCATTTTTAAATGAAATTATTTATTTATTAATCCCTTGTTGAATAGTTTGCAAATATTTTCTTCCACTCTGCAGGTTGTCTCTTCACTGTGTTGCTTGTTTAGTTTGCTGTACAAAAGCTTTTTAGTTTGATACAAATCCGTTTGTCTATTTTTGCTTTTGAGGTCTTAGCCATAAAATCTTTGCCTAGACCAATGTCCTGAAGTGTTACTCCTGTGTTTTCTTCTGGTAGTTTTATAGTTCCAGGTCTCAACATTTAAGTCTTTAATCCATTTTTAGTTGGTTTTTATATATGGTGAGAGCTACGGGTCTACTTTCATTTTACTACATACAGATATCCAGTTTTCCCCGGACCTTTTATCAAAGAGACTGTCTCTTCCCCAGTGAATGTTCTTGGTGCCTGTGTTGAAAATCAGTTGGCTGTAAGTGCGTAGATTTTTCGTTTTGTTTTGTTTTCTATTCTCTACCATTGGTGTGTCTGTTTTTATGCCAGTACTGTGATGTTTTGGTTATATAGCTTTGTAATATATTTTGAAGCCAGATAGTGTGATGCTTCCAGCTTTATTCTTTTTGCTTAGGATTGCTTTGGCTAGTCAAGGTCTTTTGTGGTTCCATACAAATTTTAAGGTTGGTTGTTGTTTTTTTTTTTTTCTATTTCTGTGAAGACTATCATTGGGATTTCAGGGTTTTTTTTGTTGTTGTTGATGTTTTGTTTTTTAAGAGATAGGGTCTTGCTGCATTGCCCAGACTGGCCTTGGACTCCTGGGCTCAAGCAATCCTCCTGCCTCAGCCTCCTGAGTAGCTGGGACCATAGGTGTGTGCCATTGTACCCAGCTCATTGGTATTTTTATAAGGATTGCAGTGAATCTGTAGATCGCCTTTGGTAGCATGGTCATTTTCACAATATTAATTATTCCAACCCATAAATGTGATGTCTTTCCATTTTTTGTGTGTGTTCTCCAATTTATTTCATTCAATGTGTGTGGGGTTTTGTTTTGTTTTGAGACAGGGACTCAATCTGTCACCCAGGCTGGAGTGCAGTGGCTCGATCTCGGCTCATTCCAACCTCTGCCTCCTGGGCTCAAGCGATTCTCATGCCTTAGCCTCCTGAATAGCTGGGATTATAGTTGTGCATCACCATGCCTGCCTAATTTTTGCATTTTTAGTAGACACAGAGTTTTACCATGTTGGGCAGGCTGGTTTCAACTCCTGACCCCAAGTCGTCCGCCTGCCTCAGCTTTCCAAAGTGCTGGGATTACAGGCCTGAGCCACCACACCTGGCCTCATTCAGTGTTTTACGTATTTAATGGTATCCCATAATTCTTATAGACTTTCTTTGTTCATTTTCATTGTTATTTCCTTCTTTTCTCTCTCTGGGTAATTTCAAATGACCTATGTCCAAGTTCAGAAATTCTCTCTGCTTGATCAAGTCTGCTGTTGAAGGTCTCTATTGTATTTATTTCATTCATTGAGTTCTTTAGCAGCAGGATTTTTGTTTTGTTCTTTTTATTATTTATATCTCTTTGTTGAATTTCTTGTTCATATTGTGAGTTGTTTTCCTGATTTCATTGAATTATCTATTTGTATTTTCTTGTTTCTTGTTAAGTTTAAGATCATTTAAAAAATTTTTGGCAACTCGTTGACTTTCTTATCATTGGAATTTGTTACTAGATTCCCTTGGAATTTGTTACTAGATATCATTGGAATTTGTTACTGATTGTCCCTTGATCAACACAGGTTTAAACTGCACAGGTCCTGTACTCCGATTTTCTTCAGCCTCTACCACCCCTGAGACAATGGGACCAACCCCTCCTCTTCTTCCTCTCCCTTAGCCTATTCATCTTACATTTAGATGATGAGGATGAATACCTTTATGATGATCCACTTCCCCTTAATGAATAGTAAATACATTTTCTCTTCCTTATGACTTACTTTCTTTTCTTTTCTTTTTTTTTTTTTTTTTTGCAATGGAGTTTCACTCTTGTTGCCCAGGCTGGAGTGCAATGGTGTAATCTCGGCTCACCGCAACCTCCGCCCCCTGGATTCAAGCGATTCTCCTGCCTCAGCTTCCTGAGTAGCTGGGATTACAGGCATGTGCCACCATGCCTGGCTAATTTCATATTTTTAGTAGAGACAGGGTTTCTCCATGTTGGCCAGGCTGGTCTCAAACTCTCGACCTTAGGTGATCCGCCTGCCTCGGCCTCCCAAAATCCTGGGATTACAGGCATGAGCCACTGTGCCTGTCCATGACTTTCTTAATAAACTTTTATTTAGCTAACTTTATTATAAGAATACAGTGTATGATACTGTACATATAATACATATAATATAAAACTATATGTTAATTGACTGTTTATGTTATTGGTAAGACTTCCAGCCAATAGTAAGATATTAGTAGTTAAGCCTTTGGGGAGTCAAAAGTTATACACTCATCTTTGACCATGTGAACAGTTGGTACCCCAATTCCTGTGTTGTTCGAGGGTCAGCTGTATTATGTTCCTTTGGTAGTGTCATACTTCCTTGTGTTTCTGTGTCAATATCTGTGTATTTGGTGGAACAATTGCCTTTTCTAAACTTTCTAGAGTAACTTCGTAGAGAAAGACTCTCACCTGCAGTTGGGTTTTATCGTGCCAGTCAGGAAGGGTGTAGTGTCTGTTTGTGGATAGGTGCAGTGGTATAGTTTCCATGCAGCTTCTTCAGCTGCATTCAACGTCAGCAATAACTGGGTGCTCAGTGACCTAGTCTGTAGAAGTTTGTGGCAGTGACAGTGGCAGCATAGGTTGTTAATGTCCTTGGTGTCAAAGGCTTTTGGAGTACTCCTATCCTAATTTTCTCCCCAAAGGGAAGACTTAACCAAGGTGTGAGGTGTGACACAGTCTACAGGTAGCTACAGTAGCGCTGGGTTCTAGGTACTGGTGCTAGGACACAGGGTCTGTATTAGTCTGTTCTTGCACTGATATAAACAAATACTTAAGACTGGGTAATTTATAAAGAAAAGAGGTTTAATTGGTTCATGGTTCTGCAGGCTGTACAGGAAGCCTTGTGGTTTCTTCTTCTGGGGAGGCCTCAGGAAGCTTCCAATCATGGTGGAAGGCAAAGAGGGAACCAGCATTTCACATGGCAGGAGCAGGAGGAAGAGAAAGAGTGGGGAAGTGCCACACACTTTTAAACCAGATCTCACTATCTCAAAGAGAGCTCTGGGCAGATGACGTTAAACCATGAGAAACCCCCACCATGATCCAATCACCTCCCACCAGACCCCACCTCCAACATTGGGGATTACAATTGAATGTTAGATTTGGGTGGGGACACAGATCCAGACCATATCAGGGTTTCACAAACCTATTATGGCACCTGAGTTTTGGGGTACAGGTTAGCACTCTGTGGCAGAGTTGGATGTAGATAGACCACAGAGCTAGGATCTGTGACTCTCAGATACCCTCTAGCAGCTCAGGCCCAGGGAGCCAGGTTGTAGCTGTGATTCTACCTCTGAGAGGCAGGGCACAGAACTGGCTCAACCCTAAAGAGAATGTAGAGGGTACCCTGGAGGTTTGGGAGCAGGGTACAGCTCCAGTTCGGGAACATGAGCCAGCAGGGCTCGGTGGTAACTCAAGTCCCTGGGGGATGAAGCACCATTTAGTAGTAACTATAGTCCCTGGGATGGTGGAACTTGGCAGTATCTCAGACTCTGTGAGGCCAGTTGCAGCAGCAGCAGCAGCAGCAGCAGCAAGTGCCCCAGAAAGGTGGAGTACAGCTGTTGTTTAGGCCCTGGGGGTGTAGGGAACAGCATAGCAATGACTGCACTCCCTATGCAGAAGGGTGTCTTAGCAGCTGACTCTAGGGGGCTAGTCCAGCTCTAGGGAGGATGACTACTAGAGGAGTTTGGTCTGTAGGGCAGAGTGTCTCAGCTCAACCACTGCTCTGTTTCCCTAGGACACAGGATACTATGTCAGCTCAGCCCTGGGATGGGCAGCTGCTCAACTTGGCCACAGCACCAGTTCTCCAGGGCCCCATGTGCTGCTTCAGCTTCAGCCTGGGGGGCATGACCGTTCCAGGAGGCCCAGGCATCATTTCCTGGAATGTGGGTAGTTGCTTCACCTTATGCACTGGAGAGGCATGACTGCTCTGAGCAGCTAAGGTACTGTTTCCCTGGGAGGCAGGATACTGCTTCAGCTCTGGCCTGAGGGGGTGATAGGAGGGGTAGGTGGGGTGGCTCCATCTCTGCTTCCCCCTACCCCTGTACGGGGGTATAACAGCTGTTCACAGCTCAACTTGGGGATGTAGGGCCACTGCTAGGGTGGTTCAGTCTTGGCTTAGTCTCAGGGATAAAGGGGAACTGTGGCTGCTCAGCCCCGGAGCAAGACATACTCCAGCCATAGTTCTGATTCCAAGATGACATAGCACAGTAGCTACATAAACTACAGTGCTTGGGACACAGTGTCGGTTTCTTCTGATGGGGCAGCACAGCAGTGTGGACTCCAGAGAGCTTCCTCAGCTGGGCTTGGTGTCTGTGAAGACTGCAGGGAACCTCAGTGGTGAGGTCTATTAGTAGGGTTTGTTACTGGAATCCTCTTGCTTCCCTCCTTGCTGCAGGGAGTTCTTCTTGGTTCCTAGCTCTTCCCAGTTGGGGGATTGGGTGGTGGAGGCCGGATGCTTCCTTTCATTCTCTATGTGGCCATCCTGAGTTTCTGTGCTCATCAATGCTCTCCCTCATTTATTTTTGTGAAAATGTAGTTGTTTATTCATTATTTTGATTGTCTTTGTGAGGGAGATGAATGCTAGGGACTTCTAGTGGGCCATCTTGCTGATGTAACTTGACTACAATATGTTGCTATTAACTGTAGTCACTATGAACTTATTCCTCCTAATTGAAATTTTGTATCCTTTGACCACAGTCTTATATTCTTTACTTTTTTCTTTTTTTTTTTTTTTAAATTTACACACCACTATACAAACAGGGGACACAGCTTTCTTTTCTAATATGAGGGTGTAAAGCAGGAGTGTCCAATCTTTTGACCTCCCTGGGCTACATTGGAAAAAGATGAATTGTCTTGGGCCATACTTAAAATACACTAATGTTAGCTGATGAGTTTTTAAAAAATTGCAAAAAAAAAAAAATCTCATAATGTTGTAAGAAAGTTTACAAATTTGTGTTGGGCTGCATTTTAAGCCATCCTTAGCCACACCACAGGCCACAGGTTGGACAAGCTTAGTTTAAAGGCTGTAAATTTCCCTTGAAATTTTATATTAGCTGTATGTCACAAGTTTTGATACATGATATGTTCTTTATGGTTCAGATCTAGTATTTGCTGTTCCATGTGAATTTGAGAGGAACATATGTTCTTTAATTGTTTGGAATGAATTTTAAATATGTCCAGTAATTCGAGCTTTTTCTGTTTCCTTAACTTGGCTGAGATAATTATCATGAGATCTTGCACTATGATAATACATTTGTCAGTTTGGCCCTAAATTCTATCCATTTTTTTAAAGTTGGTTTTTCTTGTTGCTATTTGATTGTTTTTTGAGACAGGGTCTTGCTTTGTCACCTAGGCTGGAGTGTAGTGCCATGATCACAGCTGACTGCAGTCTTGACCTCCCAGGATCAAGCGATCCTCCCACCTCAGCCCTCTGATTACCTGGGACTGCAGGTGAGGGCCACCACACCTGGCTAATTTTTTGTGTGTTGAGACAAGGTTTCAACATGTTGCCCGGGCTAGTCTGGAACTCCTGGGATCTAGCAGTCCACCTGCCTTGGCCTCCCAAAGTGCTAGAATTACAGGCATGAGCCACTGCACCTGGCCTAAAAGTTTTTAAAGGGAAATTTCAAAAATATACAGGAGTAGGCTGGGCACGGTGGCTCACGTCTGTAATCCCAGCACTTTGGGAGGCCGAGGTGGGCAGATCACTTGAGGTCAGGAGTTTGACACCAGCCTGGCCAACATGGTGAAACCCCATCTCTACCAAACAATACAAAAATTAGCTGGGCATGGTGGTATGCTTCAGTAGTCCCAGTTACTTGAGAAGCTGAGGTGGGAGAATCGCTTGAACTGCGGAGGTGGAGGTTGCAGTGAGCCGAGATTGCGCCACTGCACCCCAGCTGGGGACCAGAGTGAGACCTTGTCTCAAAAAATATATATATATTATATATATGTAATATATGTATGTAATATATAATTATATATAATTATTTATAAATATACATATTATTATATTAAAATACATACTCCTGTACATATATTTAAATATAAATTTTATAAATATTTATATAAAATATTATGTATATATATTAGTAGAACAGTAAATGAAGCCGGCGTACAATTATCAATGTATGACCAATCTTGTTTTATTTATTTCTCTATCAATTGTACCCTTTCTCTGACTTTGGTATTTATTTACTTTCTTGAGACAAGGTCTCACTTTGTCACCCAGGCTGGAGTGCAGTGGCACAATCACAGCTCCTGGGCTCAAGTGAGCTCCTGCTTCAGCTTGCTGAGAAGCTGGGACTACAGGCACACACCACCATGTCCAGCTAATTTTTTTGATCTTTAGTAGAAATAGGGTCTTGTTATGTTGCCCAAGCTAGTGTCAAACTCTTGGGTTCCAGTGATCCACCCACCTCTGCCTCACAGTGTGCTGGGATTACACACGTGTGAGTCACCACGCTCAGCCTGACTTTGATATTTTTTAAACAAATCCTGGACATTCTAATAATTTTATCTATAAGTATTAATATTATCAAACCATTCACATACCTAAAAATACCAAAAATACTTACTTTAGAGACAGAGTCTCACTCTGTTGCACAGGCTGAATTGCAGTGGTACAGTCACAGCTTACTGCAGCCTCAAAGTCCTGGGCTCAAGCCATCCTCCCACCTCAGCCTCCCAAATAGTTATAACTACAGACATGTGCCCCCCATACCCAGCTAATTTTTTTTTTTAAGTTTCTTGTAGAAATGGGATCTCAGGCTGGTTTTGAACTCCCATGCTGGTCTCAAATTCCTGTTCTCAAGTAATCTTCCCATCTCAGCCTCCCAAAGTGTTGGGATTATAAGTGTGAGTCACTGTATCCAGCCCCAAAATTCCTTTTTTTCCCCTTTTTTTAATGGAATGCCTGAATATCCCAAGAAAAATTCCTTAATATCAGATATCTAGTCCACATTCATATTTTCCTGCTTGTATATACACATGCATATATATGTACACACCCATTTTGATGATACTATTTTATTTTTTTAATTGAGGTGAAATTCATATAACTTAAAATTAATCCCTTTGAAATGAACAATTTACTGACAGTACATTCACAAAGTTGCAAAAGTGCCATGCAGAGCTTCAAAACATCTTCATCACTCAAAATAAAATTTTGTACCCATTAGTCCATTATACCTTCCCTCAAGCCTCTGGTATCCACCAGTCTCCTTTATTTCTCTATAGATTTACCTATTTTGGATATTTTATGTAAATAGAACCATATAGTATGTAACCTTTTGTGTGTGGCTTGGCTTCTATCACTTAGCATAATGGTATTTTGTTTGTTTTTAGACAGGGTCTTGATCTATCTTTGGGCTGTACCTTTGCCCATTTTGTAAATTGGGTTATTTTGGATTGTAGTCTTTTGGTTGTTGAATTGTATGAGTTCTTTACGTATTCCAGACCCTTATCAGATATATGATTTGCAGATACTCTCTACCGTCTGTGGGCTGTCTTTTAACTCTTGTCATGGTGATCTTTGTACAAAAATTTTTATTTTGATGATGTCCAATTTATCTGTTTTCTCTTTTACTTGTCCTATTGGTGCCATATCTAAGAAACTATCACCAAATGCAAAGGCATGCAGATTTACCACTATGTTTTTCTTCTAAGAGTTGCATGGTTTTAGTTCTTATATTTAGCTCTTTGATCCATTTTTCATTTTTGGTATGTAGTATGAGGTAGGAGTTCAACATCATTCGTTTTCATGTGGATATTCAGTTGTCCTGGCACCATTTGTTGGAGATAGTATTCTTTCCTCATCAAATGCTTTTGGCACCCTTGTCAAAAATCATTTAACCATAGATATGTATTTCTGGACTCTCGATTCTGTTGTATTGATTGCTCTAAATTTCCCTCTGAGCACTGCTTTTGTTGCAGCCCATAAGTTTTTGATATATTGTGCATATTATCATTGCTATATTTTATAAATTGATATATTATCAATCATCACACCCTCTAGAGTTACACGCATTTTTTTGGTTCTATAGTGTTTTATTTCTGTCCTTAAAACACACATACAAAGTTACAATATTGAAATTATTATTTTATACAGAGAATGTTTATTTATATTTTTATAGAATTATTAATTTGCTTGCCATTTTTTCAAGCATCTCAGGACTTCTTTCTGTTATAATATTTGTTTTTTTGAAATATATATATTTTTTGCTAAAATAATGTGCTTTATTCAGTTATCTAACATGTAAGAAATACAGAGGTAATTCCTGTACCAAATGTTTTATATTTGGTATATATTTTTTCTCTTCTCTTCTATAATCTGCTTATATGGCATGACCTAACTGTTCTTTTTTTATTATTATTATTATTTTAATTTTTTTTTTGAGACAGAGTCTTACTCTTATTGCCCAGGCTGGAGTGCAGTGGTGTAATCTCAGCTCATTACAACCTGTGTCTCCTGGGTTCAAGTGATTCTCTTGACCCAGCCTCCCAAGTCACTGGAATTATAGGCGTGCGCCACCACGCCTGGCTAGTTTCTGTATTTTTAGTAGAGATGGGGTTTCACCCTGTTGGCTAGGCTGGTCTCGAACTCCTGACCTCAGGTGATCCACCCTCCTCGGCCTCCCAAAGTGCGGGGAGCCTCCCAAAGTGCGGGGATTATAGGTGTGAGCCATTGCACCCAGCCAACAACTGTAAAAAAAAAATTGTTTTAATTGTAGTAGTTGTAGATATTTATGGGGTACATGAAATGTTTTGATGCTGACATGCAATGTATAATAATCATATCATGTAAAATGGGATATCCATCCCCTCAAGCATTTATCCATCCCCTCAAGCATTTATCCTTTGTGTTACAAACAATCCAATTATACTATTTTAGTTATTTTTAAATATAATTAAATTATTGACTGTAGTTACCCTGTTGTGCTATCAAATATGAAGTGTGTTGTTTAGAAATTTCTTTCATATATGAGACATTGATTGTAAACTCTCCGTTTTTTGTTTTTTATTTATTATTATGATTCTTTTTGAGACAGAGTCTTGCCCTGTTGCCCAGGCTAGAGTGCCATGGCATTATCTTGGCTCACTGCAACCTCCACTACCTGGATTTAAGCAATTTTCGTACCTTAGTCACTCGAGTAGCTGTGGTTACAGGTATGCGCCATCACACCCAGCTAATTCTTTTTTTTTTTTTTTTTGTATTTTTATTAGAAGCAGGGTTTTGCCATGTTGGTCAGGATGGTCTTGAACTCCTGGCCTTAAGTGATCTGCCTGCCTCGGCCTCCAAAAGTGTTGGGATTACAGTGTGAGCCACTGTGCCCAGCCAACTTTCAGTTTTTTTAAATCTTAAAGTATCTTCTTTTCACTCTCTTTTCTGAAAAAAGTAGGGTTTTGTGGAGTGGTGTGGTTTTTTTTGTTGTTTTTTTGGTTTTTTTTTTTTTTGGTTATTCTGAAGGTTAGACAGTAGAAAAAAATAGTTTGGGCCGGGCGCGGTGGCTCAAGCCTGTAATCCCAGCACTTTGGGAGGCCGAGACGGGTGGATCACGAGGTCAGGAGATCGAGACCATCCTGGCTAACACGGTGAAACCCCGTCTCTATTAAGAAATACAAAAAACTAGCCGGGCGAGGTGGCGGGCGCCTGTAGTCCCAGCTACTCGGGAGGCTGAGGCCGGAGAATGGCGTGAACCCGGGAGGCGGAGCTTGCAGTGAGCTGAGATCCGGCCACTGCACTCCAGCCTGGGTGACAGAGCGAGACTCCGTCTCAAAAAAAAAAAAAAAAAAAAAAAAGAAAAAAATAGTTTGGCTCATATACAATTGTTTATTGATAGTTACTTTTCTTTTTTTCCTTTTTTGAGATGGGGTTTCGCCATGTTGCCCAGGCTGGTCTCAAACTTGTGGGCTCAAGCGATCCGCCCTCCTTGGCCTCCCAAAATGCTAGGATTACAGGTGTGAGCCACCACATCCGGCCAATCTACTTTCTTAAAACCTTAAATATTATTCCTGTGACTTCTGCTACCATGTTGCTATAAGAAGGCCACTATATGTCTAATTTCAATACTCTGTAGGGATTCTGTCTTATCTCTCTGTCTTTAATTTTTTTTTTTTTTTTTTTTTTTTTTTTTTTTTACCTAGGCTCAGGGATGTTTTTATGGTCTGTTTTGTCTCTCCAGATGCATTTTTCTGTTCCTCTTTAGCATATTGCATGTTCACTACATTGAGTATGGGTTTCTTTTTATTTCTCTTGGAATACTTAAAAGTAAGACTTCCTTTATCTGTGGATTCATGTCTTTAGTTTGAAAAATTGCCAGCCATTATCTCTTCAAATACAGATGGTCCCTGACTTACATTAATTCAACTTATGATTTTCAACTTTATGATGGTGTGAAAATGATACATATTTAGTACACCCCTTAACCTATGATGGCGATGGCATTACATCTGGATAAACCCACTGTAAATCGAAAATGCTGTAAGTCAAAAATGTACTTTCAACTTAGGATAGTTTCCACTTAAGGTATTTTCAACTCACAGTGTGTTTATCGGGATAAGTCTGAGAGCATCTATATTATCTCTCCTTCATTTTCTCTTTTCTATTCTTTTGAGACTTCACTTATATGCATACTGTACTTTCTATTTTCCTTATTTTTAAGTCTCTGTCATATTTTTTATCTTCTGTTTTTGCTTTGATGCAGTCTAGGTAATTTTAAACTCTGTCTTCCAATTTAATAATTCTTTCTTCTGCATCTAATCTATTTAACTTACCCATTGCCTTTTTTTTTTTTTTTTTGAGACAGGGTGTCACTGTGTCACCCAGGCTGGAGTGCAGTGGCATGATTATGGCTCACTGCAGCCTCAGACTCCTGGACTCAAGAGATCCTCCCACCTCAGCCTCCCGAGTAGCTGGGACTGCAGACCCACACCACCATACATGGCTGATTTTTAAATTTTTTGTAGAGACAGGCCCTCATTATGTTGCCCAGGCTGGTCTCGAATTCCTGGCCTCAAGCAATCCTCTTGGGTTGGTCTCCCAAAGTGCTGGGATTATAGACATGAACCACTGTTTCTGGCCCCATTGACTTTCTAATTTCAGCAGGGTTTTTTTTTTTTTGAGACAAAGTCTTGCTCTGTCACCGAGGCTGGAGTGCAGTGGCGCCATCTCGGCTTACTGCAACCTCCACCTCGTGGGTTTAAGCAATTCTGCCTCAGCCTCCCAAGTAGTGAGGATTATAGGCATGCACCACCACGCTCAACTAATTATTATATTTTTAGTAGAGACAGGGTTTCCCCATGTTGGCCAGGCTGGTCTCAAACTCCTGACCACAAGTGATCCACTCACCTGGACCTCCCAGAGTGCGGAGATTACAGGCATGAGCCACTGTGCCCAGCCTGTTTTTTTTAAAAAATTAAACTTTTGATAGTTTTTATTATTTGCTTATCTCTGTGATTCATTTTTTTAGATATTAAATAATTACATTATGTTCAATCTTAGATGTTTCCAATATGGGAAGTCTTTAGGGACTGTCTGAATCTGGTGACTCATTCGCATGGTGGCTAATTTCCTGGGTTTTTTTTTTTGGTATTCTTTGATTGTTAGCTTATATTTGATTGATCTTAATATGAAAGAAAACTGGAGTCTTAACTGGGCTTCTTTTTCTCCAAATAGTAGCTGCATTTTTTTCTTACCAGAAGCCAGGTTACACTCTTCACCCCGAACCTTTCAGGTTGTTATCCTTATCTTGGGAGTTTTAAGTTTTCTTCCCCTACCAGCTTCTTGTCCCAACTTCAGTGTCTTAGCCACAAAACTAATGTATTAGAACTACCCTTGGGGAAAGTTTCCTCTTTGTTTATGCTCACCTCTTTGGTTTTGCTTTTTTGGGGTTGCAGGGAGAGGAGGGTGGTCATTGGAGTGAGGAATGGCCTTTGATTGTTGGCACTTCTTGTAGCAGAGCCTGGACACAAAATAAATATTTTATTTTTGGTCAACTTTCTGTTTTTTGTTTTGTAGCAAGACAGTTTTTTTTAACAGTATCTTTTTGCCATATTGCCGCTAATGGGAGGCTCTTTTTATTTTGAAACCCCTTCTAAATAATTTTATTCTCAAGTAATATAGGTATAATATATAAAATTCAAAAATAATCCAGAAAGTTATAAATTCAGATTGCTTTTACTTCCATAGCCTAAGGTAACTACAGGCTTTTTGGAATTTTTGTAATTGATTTTTTACTTGATTAGATTATAAGTGATCATTTAAAATCTCAAAGGAGAAGCAAGTAAAAGATACTTTATAGCCATATATTAAAACTGGACCGATTTTGTAGCTTTACAGAAATTGCCCCAATTGAGAACTACTGTACTAGACCTAAGTGGCTCAGAGTTATTGGTATATATATTTCTTCATTTTCTTTTTTTAAATATCTCTTCCTTTTCAAAGCTTGTCAAACTAATGTTAAGTGGTATACTTGTCTATTAATGGTAAAAATTGTATATATATATATATATATATAATATCTGTCTACACCAGGATATCTGTTTCAAAATTGTATAATGCTATAATAGGGCATACCCAACTCATAAAGTTGAAAAACTTTATTTGCATTAAATTTCTGGTAATATGAGAATTTTAGAAGTATTTGAAGGGGTATACCAGTACCTTGTCACATAAAATAAATCTTAAAAAGCCAGTACAGAAGTATAGTTAAAGATAGGATGAGGGGGCCGGGCACGGTGGCTCAAGCCTGTAATCCCAGCACTTTGGGAGGCCGAGACGGGCGGATCACGAGGTCAGGAGATCGAGACCATCCTGGCTAAAACGGTGAAACCCTGTCTCTACTAAAAAATACAAAAAAACACTAGCCGGGCGAGGCGGCGGGCGCCTGTAGCCCCAGCTACTCGGGAGGTTGAGTCAGGAGAATGGCCTGAACCCAGGAGGCGGAGCTTGCAGTGAGCTGAGATCTGGCCACTGCACTCCAGCCTGGGCGGCAGAGCGAGACTCCGTCTCAAAAAAAAAAAAAAAAAAAAAAAAAAAAAAAAAAAGATAGGATGAGGGAACTATATAACACTAATTTTTTGCCCTGCATTGAATGTATTCTGGTGCCTTGGCAAGTCATTTTAAAAAATGTTAGTTTTTTAATCTATAGAATGGAAATGATTTTACCTAAATTATATGGGGTACCACAGTAGTGAATATGAGAGATTTTTTTAAGATAAAACATACTAACTGCTTTAGTTGATCAGCTATTTAAACTCTTTCAGCTATTAAATAATAGAAGAAAATGGAATTGAATATGGTGTCAGCATGGAACAATCTAATGATTCATTAAGAGTCAACCATAATGATGGTGAAGAGTCAAAAACCGATGCTCAAGTATTTGAGGTATGGATTCAGCTGGGAACTTTTTTCCATCCTAGGGTAAAACAGTGAGCCATTTAACAGCTCTTTATGCTCAAGGGATAGCTATTATATTTAGTGTATTCAAGAATTTTGGGCTGGGTGCGGTGGCTCATGCCTGTAATCCCAGCATTTTGGGAGGCCGAGGCGGGCGTATCACCTGAGGTCAGGAGTTCAAGACCAGCCTGGCCAACGTGGTGAAACCCTGTCTGTACTAAAAATACAAAAATCAGCCGGGCATGGTGGTGAGCGCCTGTAATCCCAGCTACTTGGGAGGCTGAGGCTGGAGAATCACTTAAACCCAGAAGGCAGAGGTTGCTGTGAGCCAAGATCCCACCATTATAGTCCACAAGAGTGAAACTCCATTTCAAAAAAAAAAAAAAAGCGAAAAGAATTTAGGCCGGGCGTGGTGGCTCATGCCTGTAATCCCATCTCTTTGGGAAGCTGAGGCGGGTGGATCACAAGGTAAGGAGATCGAGACCATCCTGGCTAACATGGTGAACAGAAAATTAGCCAGGCGTTGTGGCAGTCACCTACTCTGGAGGCTGAGGCAGGAGAATGGCATGAACCCGGGAGGAGGAACTTGCAGTGAGCCAAGATAGCGCCATTGCACTGCAGCCTGGGCGACAGAGCGAGAGTCTGTCTCAAAAAAAAAAAAAAGAATTTTTTTTTTTTTTTTTTTGAGACGGAGTCTCGCTCTGTCGCCCAGGCTGGAGTGCAGTGGCCGGATCTCAGCTCACTGCAAGCTCCGCCTCCCGGGTTTACGCCATTCTCCTGCCTCAGCCTCCCGAGTAGCTGGGACTACAGGCGCCCACCACCTCGCCCGGCTAGTTTTTTGTATTTTTAGTAGAGACGGGGTTTCACCATATTAGCCAGGATGGTCTCGATCTCCTGACCTCGTGATCCGCCCATCTCGGCCTCCCAAAGTGCTGGGATTACAGGCTTGAGCCACCGCGCCCGGCCAAAAAAGAATTTTAATATTTAATTATACACATATTTTATGAAATATTTAACAATACAGAACTTAATACTTAGATATATTCATAAAAATTTTATATACAGAGAAAAATCTAAAGGTTGAATTATATTACGTTATTTCAGGTTCCATTCCTGTGGATAATTTTGATAAAATTAAGATAATAAATATAATAATCAACAATTTTACTTAAGAAATGCTTTCTGTGTATAGCAACTTGTATGAATTGACAACTCTTACAAAAAAGTAAAAACAACTGAAAAATGGGTATCTTTTCATTTTTATTATACCTATCTTTAAAAAAAAATGGTGACAGTATATCCTGAAAAGACTGAAGTGATTTTTTTTTTCTTTGCAAAAGCATCTAACCTGTATGGACTCCAGGGATTCTTCCTTTGGACAAAATGATTCTCCTACAGTTTTGCCCATCACTACTCCTGAAGCAAATAATTCACTCATATCACAGAATATAACAGGGCCCCTGACTCAGACACGGACTCCTTCTGCAGAGCATTTCCATCTAGTGGACCAAAATGGGCAAGCTATTCAATATGAACTTCAGTCATTGGGGGAATCCAATGCACAAATGGTGAGTATATTTTGTAAGTAACCAGTTTTATGCTCTTTAGCAAAATATATTAGTCTTACTAAATGACCTTAATTTCTTGACACTTTTGATTTACATCATGTTTATTTATTTATTTATTTTTGAGATGGAGTTTCACTCCTGTTGCCCAGGTTAGAGTGCAATGGCACGATCTTGGTTCACTGCAACCTCTGCCTTCCAAGTTCAAGCAATTCTCCTGCCTCAGCCTCCCGAGTAGGTGGGATTACAGGTGCCCACCACCACACCTGGCTAATTTTTTTTGTTTTTTTAGTAGACGCAGGATTTCACCATGTTGGTCAGGCTGGCCTCAAACTCCTGACCTCAGGTGATCCATGCGCCTTGGCCTCCCAAAGTGTTGGGATTACAGGCTTGAGCCACTGAGCCCGGCCACATTGTGTTTAAAATAGTGTTTCCATAACTTTCATTTTTATGTAAGGATTTTAAAAGATTTCCATTCAGGACTACGAATAGTACTTTAAATAAAGAGTACTTAGCCAGTCTCTGTGTTTGGGCACACTTGTGCTTTGAGATCAATTGGAAATGTAACATAATCTGTAACTAGTTCTGAAGTGCCAGAGTTGACGTGGAACTTACATTTAATGGAACGTACACACACACACACACACACACACACACAGAGACAGACACATATTAGACTAAACTCCAGTTTGTTTGTTTTTTTTCCGAGACGGAATCTTGCTCTGTCGCCGAGGCTGGAGTGCAGTGGCGTGATCTCGGCTCACTGCATCCTCCTCTGCCTGGTTTCAAGCAGTTCTCTTGCCTCATCCTCCTGAGTAACTGGGATTACAGGTGCCTGCCATCACACCCGGCTAGTTTTTGTATTTTTAGTAGAAACGGGATTTCACCACGTTGGCCAGGCTTGTCTTGAACTCCTGACCTCGTTATCCACCCACCTCAGCCTCCCAAAGTGCTGGAATTACAAGCGTGAGCCACCGTGCCCGGCCTGAACTCCAGGTTTTGATTTATCAGCATCTCACTGACCTCCAAGCCACTTTCTGGTATGTTTTCTTGAAGAAATAGAAAGTAATGGAGGTAATGCAATGGAGGTACCACTAGTATATGGGGAATTAGACATATCCTTGCTAATCTTTGTGGGTAAATGTGTGCCACGTGAGTCAGAATGCATAAAGATAAAAAGATGAGGATGGCTAAATACTTTTCAAATTGTTAGCTAAAAGTATTTTTGACCAAGTTCATAGTTTGAGCCAAGGAGGTGAAAGATTGTTTTGACTGACATATGGAAAATTACTAAGAAAAACCTCTAAGTTGCTCTCTGGTTATTTAGAATATACTTAACATAAGTAATACTATGAAGGATAATGTGTCTCTTGTATACTTGAATTTTCCAAATTTTCTACAATGAGTATCTATTACTTTCATAATAAAAATTATTTTTAAAAGCGTAACAACTTTAATTATAAATTACACCACAGGTAAAAATTTTACCTAGAATTAACTCTTGTTTCTGTTCATAATCTAGAGCATTCTAGAGTTAATCTATGCCATTTTGCTCCTTTATGATCCAGCCAAATTGAGTTATCTAAATTCTAGGGGTAAGAATAATTGGTTGAGAGGTGACTATGTGCAGGGGAATCCTTCTTGTTTATGTTCGAGCTTTCTGGGACTTAGACCAGAGCCATACTGCATCACCAGCAAAGGTTAATATTCAACAAATAATTTAAATGTTAACCAACTACATTTTAATTTTTCATGTCCAGAATGAAGTACTTCTGTAGTTTCCCCTTTATTTGACATTTATTCTAGTTTCTATCAGAACATTTAGAAAGTTTTTTTTTTTTCTTCCAACAGGAAGATCAAGGAGTCTGAATGTGTCAAAGGGTTGTCATTTTACATAGGGTACCTTTCCGAGCAAAGTTGTTTATTTGAGTTAAAAAAAAAGTTAATTAACACTCTTTGTAATTGGATTAAACTTTCTATACAAAGTAAGTACAAAGGTGGTTTTACATTGTTTAGGTAGGAGATGACACAGAAGGTTATTTGAAACCGTGGAATAGGAAACATGGTATGAAGCATGGAAAAAAAAATGTGAGAAACAGATTATAAGAAAGAATTTTCTTCAAAGAACTCAAGATCAGAGAGAGAATATTCCTGGAAACTTAATGGAACTTTTGGGTTCGTTTGTTTCAGTGGACTGTATTTTTTAGAGCAATTTTAGGTTCATGACCAAAGTGAGCAGAGGATACACAGATTTTCATATATATATATACACTTGCAGTACCTGCACATGGTACAGTATCCCCCTTTATCAACATCTCCTACCAAATGGAGCTATTTGGTGTTTTTTTGTTTTTGGTTTTGGTTTTTTTGTTTTTTTTTTACTTTAGGTTCAAGGGTACATGCGAAGGTTTGTTATGGAGGTAAACTCAGATTGTACAGGTTATTTCATCCACCCATGCATTAGGCCTAGTACCCAATAGTTATTTTTTCAGCTCTTCTCCCTCCCACCCTCCACTCTGAAGTAGATCCCATTGTCTGTTGTTCCCTTCTTTGTGTTCATAAGTTTTTATCATTTAGCCCCCACTTGTAAGTGAGAATATGCAGTATTTGGTTTTTTGTTCCAGTGTTAGTTTGCTAAGGAAGTAGCCTCCAGCTCCACCTGTTCCCACAAAAGACATGATCTTGTTCTTTTTTATGGCTGCGTAGTATTCCATGGTGTATATGTACCACATTTTCTTTATCTAATCTGTCAGTGCTGGGCGTTTAGGTTGATTCTATTTGTTTGCTATTGTGAATAGGGCATTAATGAACATTCACATGCATGTGTCTTTATGGAAGAATGATTTATATTCCTCTGGGTATATATCCGATAATAGGATTGCTGGGTTGAATGGTTGTTCTGTTTTTATCTCTTTGAGGAATCACCATACTGCTTTCTACAATGGTTGAACAAATTTACACTCCCACCAGCAGTGTATAAGTGTTCTCTTTTCTCCACAACCTCACTAGCATCTGTTATTGTTTGACTTTTTAATAATAGCCATTCTAACTGGTGTGAGATAGTATCTCATTGTGGTTTTGATTTGCATTTTTCTAATGATTAGTGATATTGAGCTTTTCTTCATATGCTTGTTGACTGCATGTATGTCTTCTTTTTGAAAAGTTTATGTTCAAACTAGACAAAACTACTTTAAATTTCATATGGAACCAAAAAAAAAAGCCCGTATAGCCAAGACAATACTAAGCAAAAAGAACAAAGCTGGAGGCATCACATTTCCTGACTTCAAACTATACTACAAGGCTACAGTAACCAAAACAGCATGGTAGTGGTATCAAAACAGATATACAGACCAGTGGAACAGAACAGAGGCCTCAGAAATAACACCACACATCTACAACCATCTGATCTTCGATAAACGTGACAAAAACAAGCAATGGGGAAAGGATTCCCTATTTAATAAATAGTGCTGGGAAAACTGGCTAGCCGTATGCAGAAAACAGAAACTGGACCCCTTCCTTACACCTTATACAAAAATTAACTCAAGATGGATCAAAGACTTAAATGTAAAACCTGAAACTATAAAAACCCTAGAAGAAAACCTAGGCCATGCCATTCAGGACATAGACATGGGCAAAGACTTCATGACTAAAACACCAAAAGCAATTGCAACAAAAGCCAGAATTGACAAATGGGATCTAATTAAGCTAAAGAGCTTCTGCACAGCAAAAGAAACTATCATCAGAGTGAACAGGCAACCTACAGAATGGGAGAACATTTTTGCAAGCTATCTATCTGACAAAGGTCTAATATCCAGAATCTACAAGGAAGTTAAACAAATTTATAAGAAAATCCATTAAAAAATGGGCAAAGGATATGAAAAGACACCTTTCCAAGAAGACATTTATGTGGCCAACAAACATAAGAAAAAAAGTTGATCATCATTGATCATTAGAGAAATGCAAATCAAAACCACAATGAGATACCATGACACTCCAGTTAGAATGGCGATTATTAGAAAGTCTGGAAACGATGCTGGTGCAGCTGTGGAGAAATAGGAATGGTTTTACACTGTTGGTGGTAGTGTAAATTAATTCGACTATTGTGGAAGACAGTGCAATGATTCCTCAAGGATCTAGAACCAGAAATACCATTTGACCCAGCAATCTCACGAGTGGGTGTATACCCAAAGGATTATAAATCATTCTGCTATAAAGACATATGCACACATACGTTTATTGTAGCACTATTTACAATAGCAAAGACTTGGAACCAACCCAGATGCCCATCAATGATAGACTGGATGAAGAAAATGTGGCACATATATACCATGGAATACTATGCAGCCATAAAATAGAATGAGTTCATGTCCTTTGCAGGGACATGGGTGAAGTTGGGAACCATCATCCTCAGCAAACTAACACAGGAACAGAAAACCAAACACCTAATGTTCTCACTCATAAGTGGGATTTGAACAATGAGAACACATGGAAACAGGGAGGAGAACATCACACACCAGGGCCTGTGAGGGGGTGGAGGAAGAGAGGAGGGAGAGCAGTAGGACAAATACCTAATGCATGCAGGGCTTAAAACCTAGATGATGAGTTGATAGGGGCAGCAAACCACCATGGCACATGTATAACTATGTATAGCATGTAACAAACTTGCACGTTCAGCACATGTATCCCAGAACTTAAAAAAAAAAAAAGTGTCTGTTCTTGTCCTTTGTCCACTTTTCAATGGGGTTGTTTTTCTCTTGTAAATTTGTTTTAAGTTCCATTTAGATGCTGGATAATAGACCTTTGTCAGATGCATAGTTTGCAAATATTTTTCTCCCATTCTTCAGTTTGTTTACTCTGTTGATAGTTTCTTTTGTTGTGTAGAAGCTCTTAAGTTTATTTAGATCCCATTTGCCAATTTTTGCTTTTGTTGCAATTGCTTTTAGTGTCTTTGTCATGAAATCTTTGCCCATTCCCTTGTCTAGGATGGTATTGCCTATGCTGTCTTCCAGGTTTTTATAGTTTTGGGTTTTATATTTAAATCTTTAGTCCGTCTTGAGTTTTTCTTTTGTTTGTTTGTTTGGTTTTTTTTGTATATGGTGTGAGGAAGGGGTCCAACTTCTGTCGTCTGCATGTGGCTAACCCGTAATCCTGGCACCATTTACTTAACAGTGAGTTGTTTTCCTAATGCTTGTTTTTGTCAGCTTTGTTGAAGATCAAATGGTTGCAGGTGTGCAACGTTGTTTCTGGGCTCTCTCTTCTGTTCCATTGGTCTATGTGTCTGTTTTCATACCAGTACCATGCTGTTTTGGTTACTGTAGCCTTGTTGTATAGTTTGAAGTCAGGTAACATAATGCCTCCAGCTTTGTACTTTTTGCTTAGGATTGCCTTGGCTATTTGGGCTTTTTCTTTTTTGGTTCCATATGAATTTTAAAATAGTTTTTTTCTGGTTCTGTGAAGAATGCCATTGGCAGTTTGATAGGAATAGCATTGAATCTGTGAATTGCTTTGTGCAGTGTGGCCATTTTAATGATATTGATTCTTTCTGTCCATGAGCATGGATTTTTTTTTCCCATTTGTTTTTATCTTCTCTGATTATTTGAGCAGTCTTTTGTAATTCTTATTGTAGAGATCTTTCACCTTCCTGTAACCCTAGGTATTTTATTCTTTTTCTGGCAATTGTGAATGGGATTGCCTTCCTAATTTGGCCCTTGTCTCGGTTGTTGTTGGTATATTGGAATGCTAGTGATTTTTGAACATTGATTTTGTATACTGAAACTTTGCTGAAGTTGTTTATCTCTGGAGGAGCTTTCGGACTGAGAATATGGGGTTTTCTAAATGTAGGATCATGTCATCTGCAAACAAGGGTAATCTGACTTTCTCTCTTCCTATCTGGATGTTCTTTATTTCTTTCTCTTGCCTGATTGCTTTGGCCAGGACTTCCAATACCATGTTGAATAGGAGTGGTGAGAGAGGGCATCCTTTTCTTGTGCTGGTTTTCAAGGAGAATGCCTCCAGCTTTTGCCCATTTACTGTGATGTTGACTGTGGGTTTGTTAGATAAGCATTTTGTTTTTCTTAATTTATTTTAATAAAATAATTTATTTTTTAAGAGATATGTCTCAGCCAAGCGCAATGGCTCACGCTTGTAATCCCAGCACTTTGGGAGGCCGAGGTGAGTGGATCACGAGGTCAGGAGTCCAAGACCAGACTGGCCAACATAGTGAAACCCTGTCTCTACTAAAAATACAAAAATTAGCCAGGCGTGGTTGTGCAAGCCTGTAATCCCAGCCACTCAGGAGGCTGAGGCAGGAGAATCGCTTGAACCCGGGAGGTGGAGGTTGTGGTGAGCTGAGGTCATGCCACTGCACTCCATGCACTCCAGCCTGGGCAACAGAGCAAGACTCCATCTCAAAAAAAAAAAGAGATATGTCTCACTCTGTCACCTAGGCTTAAGTGCAGTGGCATGATCGAGCCTCCAGAGTAGCTAGAACTACAGGGACATGCCACTGCCGTCAGCCAAATGGAGCTTTTTAAAGAAATATACCTTCCTTTTTTTTCAATATGACTTTTTATTATTTATTCATTTATTTATTTATTTATTTTTTGAGACAAAGTCTCGCTCTGTTGTCCAGGCTGGAGTGCAGTGGCATGCGATCTCAGCTCACTACAACCCCCACCTCCTGGGTTCAAGCGATTCTTCTGCCTCAGCCTCCGGAGTAGCTGGGATTGCAGGTGCCTACCACCACGCCCGGCTAATTGTAGTATTTTTAGTAGAGACAGGGTTTCACCATGTTGGCCAGGCTAGTCTCAAACTCCTGACCCCAGGTGATCCATCTGCCTCTGCCTCCCAAAGTGCTGGGATTACAGGCGTGAGCCACCAAGCCTGGCCCCTTATGACTTTCTACATAAAAGTTACTAGTAAAGATTCTGTAGTGGGTGAATCTGCAATGGATGAAGATGTTTTGGAGTGAAGCTGAATTGGTCTTTTGAATTTATTAGAAATATTGTACACAAAGGGCCCAGTAGGTAAAAGACCACTCAGCTAAAGTTTTCTGATAATTTTCATGGTCTGCCTGAAATAGAATGTGTTGTAGCACATGACTCTTCAAAACCATGTTTGCTTTCATAACAAAGATTGAAGGTAATTAGCTGGGTTTTCTTTAAATAAAAAAGTAATATTAACATTTTCATTGTCAGATTATATGAACTGAAAATATTTTTTTAGGTACCAGGGGGACTAAGCTAAGAAGCGAGAAAATAAATGAGACTGTACTATGCTTGGGAAACATAGTTTCAAAATTAAGAGGATATTCCACAGATCAGTCTAAATTATGAAACTTGTATATGATTGAATAACTTATAAAAACTTATTTGTGTTTAATTTTGATTTAAAAATAACCACAGCACTCATTTTCTAAGAATGAATAAAATATTTTTCATACCCCCAATCCTAAAAGTTAGAAAATATATATATACATATTTTTTTCACAGATATTTAATCTTATTATAAGGGGTAAAGAATTTAAAACAGTATTATTACTGTTGCCTTTTAATGTCCAGCAGGGTTTTTTATATTGTTTTGGTTTTGTCTTTTTTTAGATTAAGTAGCACTCTCAAATATTGGGAGCTAATACCGAGTGGTAGTTTAAAGGAGTCAGATTGCTTGAGTTTCAATTATAGCCTACGACTAAATAGCTCTGTGTAACCTTCTATGAGTTTTGTAACCTCTGTGTGACAGTTTCCTCATTTATAAAATGTATATACTTGATATACACATGATGAGGATTAAATGAGGTAATACATCCAAAGTGCTGCCATTTCCTATGCACTGAGCACGTGTAAACAGTTATCATCAGAGTTTGCAGTTGCTGTTTCATGCTAAAGTGATAAGAGTTATGGCAGGATATTTTTATCTCAAGAAACTTGTTAAACACTGGGGAAGGAAGGAAACAATTCCCATTCTTGATTTCTGGGAACTATTTATGATTATATTAATATTTAAAGCATTCTAGTTTGTTGAAGTTTTATCCCCCAACATTAAATTTTTTTTTTTTTTTTTTTTGAGACAGAGTCTAGCTCTGTTGCCCAGGCTGGAGTGCAGTGGCCGGATCTCAGCTCACTGCAAGCTCCGCCTCCTGGGTTTATGCTATTCTCCTGCCTCAGCCTCCCGAGTAGCTGGGACTACAGGTGCCCGCCACCTCGCCCGGCTAGTTTTTTTGTATTTTTAGTAGAGACGGGGTTTCACTGCATTAGCCAGGATGGTCTCGATCTCCTGACCTCGTGATCCACCCGTCTCGGCCTCCCAAAGTGCTGGGATTACAGGCTTGAGCCACCGCGCCCGGCCAACATTAAATTTTTAAAAAATTTTTTTTCAAATTTATATTTGCATTTTTTCAAATGGCCCTTTTTTTTTGAGGCAAGGTTTTGCTCTGTCACCCAGGCTGGAGAACAGTAGCATGATCTGGCTCACTGCAGCCTCGACCTCCCAGCCTCAAGTGATCCTCCCACCTGAGCCCCCAGAGTAGCTGGTACTACAGGCACATGCCATCACACTCAGCTAATTTTAAAAATTTTTTGTAGAGACAGGTAGCCCAAAGGGTTCAAGCGATCCTCTCACCTTGACCTGCCAAAGTACTGGGATTACAGGCATGAGCCACTGTGTCTGGCCTCAAGTAACTCTCTTAGAAGTTGGAATGCAGTCCCTATCAAGCATAGGCAATATTTTCATGTTTTATCTAGCAAAAGAGGAGTCTGGGAAAGTGGGTTGGAATGATTAAGGATTGTTACCTGCATTAAAGAAGACAGCAGACTTTGGATAAAACAATAAAACCGTGTTAATAGGAGAGTAGTATGTTAAATAATAAAATTTATGTGGTGCTGATGGAAGTCTGATGCTTCCAGACTTCCAAAAAAGTCTGGAAGCATCAGATAGACTTAATTTCAAATACTGTATTAGCTGTACTTTCAAATGATAGGTCTAAAAGTTTTTTTTCAACTTCATATGCCTTTTTAGTTGATATTCCTCTAAATTTGATAGAGTAGGTTCAGTTGTTAAACTGAAAAAAAGTACAGTAAACATATTATTTTCCCCATGTTTTCAAACTTTTGAGGCACTTCATAGTATAGTTCTTTATGAACCATAGAGGCTATATATAAATGCTGAGATGCAAAAATAAATCCTATTTAAGTAGACATTTATCAAGTTACCTTTTTTTTCTTTTTTTTGGAGACAGTCTTGCTCTGTCACCCAGGCTGGAGTACAGTGGTGCGATCTCGGCTCACTGCAACCTCTGCCTCCCAGATTCAAGCGGTTCTCCTGCCTCAGCCTCCTGAGTACCTGGGATTACAGGTGCGTGCCACCACGCCCTGCTAATTTTTGTATTTTTAGTAGAGACGAGGTTTCACCACATTGATCAGGCTGGTCTCAAACTCCTGACCTCGTGATCTGCCTGCCTCGGCCTCCCTCCCAAAGTGCTAGGATTACAGGCATGAGCCACCACTCCCGACCAACAAGTTACCATTTTTAAACTAAGGAAAATGACTTTAAATATAAGACAAATGATTGCCACACAAATAGGTCAAACATGTATAAATAATACAGTAAGTGGCAAAAGGTAAATGTATTACGTCCAGACAGACTTGTTCAGACTACCAAGTAATTAGACTTCATCCATGGGTAATGATTAAGACTGTTGGTGATTAAGACCCTAGGATTAGGGTCAAACTGCCTGTTTTTAATCCTGGCTTCACCACTTATAAGTTGTGAGACCTTGGAAAAAAATGTTTATGTGCCTCAATGTTTTCATCTATAAAATGGTGGAAATCATAGAATCCACCATAGAGCTAGGTATGTGTTTAATAATTTATTTAATTAATAATTTTTGTTAAATCAGTCTAGGCATATGCATTTAAGTTTTTTTTTTTTTTTTTAATGCTTCCAAGATGATTGTTGCCAGCCCAACAGAAAATGGACAGGTACTTCGTGTAATTCCATCTACCCAGACAGCAATGGCACAAGTGATTATACCTCAGGGGCAACTTGTGGATGTGAATAGTCCTCGGGGTGAGTAACAATGGGATATAGTCCTCAGGGTGATATGTAGGGGATTTGAGAGTGTTTTAAAAACATAAATATTTTAGAAAAATCATCTTATGAAAGTCAGTGCTAAAATTGATCTCCTTAGGTAAAAGATTACGAATTAAATAATTAGAAAACAGCTCTTCACCCAAATAAATTCAAAGTTCATTTTTCAACTCCTGTCTAGATTAGCTATTTGATTTAAGAATTCTATGAAGCCGGTTGACTCCTGCTTCCTCCCAAATGACCAGTGAGCATAAAATAAATTCTTCTTAATTATAACAGTAATAATAACAGCAACAATAGCAAGAATATAATGCTAATAGCTTCAGAAGTTTTTATTTATATCTTTCTTTTTTTTTTTTTTTTTGGAGGCACAGTCTCACTCTATCCCCTAGGCTGGAGTACAGTGGTGGCATGATCTCAGCTCACTGCAACCTCTGACTCCCAGGTTCAAGCAATTCTCCTGCCTCAGCCTCCTGAGTAGCAGGGATTACAGATGCCTGCAACCACGCCTGGCTAATTTTTATATTTTTAGTAGAGCCGGGGCTTCACCATGTTGGCCAGTCTGGTCTCGAACTCCTGACCTTGGGTGATCCACCCGCCTCCGCCTCCCAAAGTGCTGGGATTACACATGTAAGCCACTGTGGCTGGCCATTTATATCTTTATCAATATTTTTATTAGCCATGTGACTCATTACTTTTTTTTTTTATACTATCCTTTTTATCCTCTTGCTCTTTTCCTCTTTCCTTGGCCCCTTCAGATTCAGAAAAGAGAATCATGCTCCCTATTTCTCCTTATATAGTCTTTACCTGTTTGATAATATGCCTATTAGTTCTCTTTTTTTTTTTTTGCTTTCCTCCCTTTTCCCTCAATTTGAATCTCTTTTCTAACCTCATAGCTATACTGTTTTGTTGCTGCTTCATAGCTAATGGTTTAGGGCAGATATTTTCACCTTAGTGTTATCATTCTTTGTTAATAGTCATTAGGACATGAAGAGAAAAACAAAGATTGCAGAAAACATTATGAGTATGAGCATAGTATATAGACAAAATTAGTTTTACATTTTCCTATATATTGCAGAACTCTTAAGATACAATTATTTCTACCACTTTTATATCCTGGCTGTTCAATATAAATTCTAAAACTTAATTATAAAATTACAGTAGTCAGTATTATAATTTAAAGTAAACAGGTATCAGAGAAATTCTCAATAAAGCATTATTCGTTTATTCTCAATAAAGCGTAAATTTTCTTTACCTATTACAAATACGTAAGTTTTAGTTAGGTATATTCTTATGGTCTTATTCAAGATATTGATGTTACTTTGTTCTTGTTTTTGTTGTTAAGATGTCCCTGAAGAGAAACCCAGTGACAGAAACTTATCAACTGTAAGGGTGGATACTCTAGCAGACAATACCAGCAATTACATTCTTCATCCTCAAACGTCCTTCACATTACCCAAAAAGTCAGTGACCAGGTAAGTCCATGGGAAAGAGAAGCTCATCTTTTAACATCACCATGGAAATCTTTTTTACAAATTACACATTTAAAGCTGGCTGACTATAGAGAAAATCAGAAAATAGAAGGAACTGTCATTGAATATATCTTTAGTTATTTTAAGGCATCTGGGTCATAAGGAGGCTACTTTGGAAGCTATAAATGTCAAAAGTGCTACTTTTCCTCAGTGACATCTGTTATCTTTTGAAACAGTATGAAAATTGTATTAGTTCATTTAGTCTGACACTAACAGACTTTTTAGAATAAAGAAACATTCATGGCTAGGCACTGTGGTTCACGCCTGTAATCCCAACACTTTGGGAGGACAAGGCAGGTAAATCATGAGATTGGGAGTTCAAGACCAGCCTGGCCAAGATGGTGAAACCCCGTCTCTACTAAACATACAAAAATTAGCTGGGTGTGGTGGTGGGCACCTGTAATTCCAGCTACTTGGGAGGCTGAGGCAGAGAATTGCTTGAACCCGGGAGGCGGAGGTTGCAGTGAGCTGAGATTATACCACTGCACTCCAGCCTGGGCAACAGAGCGAGACTCCATTTAAAAAAAAAAAAAAAGACCAGATGTGGTGGCTCATGCCTGTAATCCCAGCACCTTGGGAGGCCAAGGTGGGCAGATCACGAGGTCAGGAGATCGAGACCATCCTGGCTAACACAGTGAAACCTTGTCTCTACTAAAAATACAAAAAAAAAAAAAAAATTAACTGGGCATGGTGGCATGCGCCTTTAGTCCCAGCTACTTGGGAGGCTGAGGCAGGAGAATGGCGTGAACCTGGGAGGCGGAGCTTGCAGTGAGCGGAGATTGCGCCACTGTACTCCAGCCTGGGTGACAGAGTGAGACTCTGTCTTGAAAACAAAAACAAAAACGAAAAAAAACATTCATTATGGTTCCTAAAGTTTTAAAGGTGTTTTATCACATTTTTATGCATAGAATTCCTCTGTGGTAAAATGTTTAAAATGTTTTTTGCCAACTTTTTTTTCAGTTTTTGTTTTTGTTTTAAAATAATACTATGATATTTTAGGGAAATATGTACATGGCTTATGTATTGTTTATATTATTTTAATTGTTCCATAAAAGTATTTTTGAATTAAGACATTATTTTTGACGTTTAATCTTAGAACTTAATAATGTTACTTTTCACTTGATCTTAGCCAAAAGGCCAAGAAGTGACACATAATGTTACTTTAAACTAGTCAAATTTAACATTTTTTTGATAAATGAAAACAGTTATATAATAAGAGCACAAAATAAGCTTTGGGAGAGATATATAAAACACTTGAATTTGTTGGGACTACATGTATCTGGAAGAACAAACTTAGGTCTTTGACTTAGTAGTTAATAAAATAGTAATTGTTAAAGAAAATAATAACTAATGCACCCATCAGACCAATCTGTAGTTATTGTTAAAACTTCTTATTGATGACCTCAATATTTGTCTTTGATACTAAGAGGATAAAGCAGTTGAATGCATTTTGTGTGTTCATTGAACTGCATGTTTATATATATTCCTCTCCTATCCCAGAATGCTGGAAGAACCCCTTCTGGCGCCTCTTCAGCCACTTTCTTCTAACACACCTATATGGGCCTGCCGTCTTAGGAGCTGTGAGGTGAGTTAAAAATAATTATTACCTAGAATTACTTACCTGCTTATAACCACAGGTCATCCCCAAATGCCACTTTTGAGTACAACTAATATAGGCTATATTTACAATATTTTGTTTGTGTTTTTGTTAAATCTGATTTCATGTATTGTTGAATTATTAGAGATTCTAAGCTTTGTTAAAGCAGAGGTTATATAAATCTGTTTACATTTCACTATTATTTCTTCTCTTGCAACTCTCTTTCCTCATAGTCCATGAAACTTCACTATCATGTTTCTCTACTATTAACTTTTCAACCATTTCTTTTCTTTCTTTGCTTGCACTTATTTTTTTTTCATATTATCAGTAGAAAATTCTTTAAGGCTCACTTTCTGACTTTGTCTTTTTTCTCTCTGTATTTTGTCTTTTGGAGCACTTACCTACTTTGTTGACTTTCAACTCATATCTATAAAAATGATTTCCAAGTCCATATCACCAGTTTTTATATTTATTTATTTATTGAGACGGAGTCTCACTCTGTCCCCCAGGCTGTAGTATAGTGGTGCAGTCTGAGCTCACTGCAACTTCTGCCTCCTGGGTTCAAGCGATTTTTGTGCCTCGGCCTCCCAAGTAGCTGGGACTACAAGCATGTGTCACCACACCTGGCTAATTTTTTGTATTTTTAGCAGAGATGGGATTTCACTATGTTGGCCAGACTGGTCTCGAACTCCTGGGGTGATCCACCCACCTCGGCCTCCCAAAGTGCTGGGATTACAGGTGTGAACCACTGTACCAGGCCAGATTTTGAATTCTGCCTTCCTCTTGTCCCAGATATCTGGCTACTTGCTTGAAGGTTTATTTTAATTTCACCTCAAATTCACCATATCCCATACTGAAATCATCTACCATGCCACAACTGGCTCCACTTCCAAAATTCCATGTCTGTGTAATGACAAATACCATTTCCTTAGATACCCAGGCATAAAGTTTTGTACTAATTTCTTCCTTTCCCACATTTGGTAGTCACCAGATTCTTTTTTTTTTTTTTTGAGACAGAGTCTCACTCTGTCATGTAGGCTGGAGTGCAGTGGTGCTGTCTCAGGTCACTGCAACCTCCGCCTCCCAGGTTCAAGCAATTCTCCTGCCTCAGCCTCTTGAGTAGCTGGGACTATTTGCATGTGCCACCATGCTCAGCTAATTTTTGTATTTTTAGTAGAGACGGAGTTTTGCTATGTTTGCCAGGCTGGTCTCGAACTCCCGACCTCAGGTGATCCTCCTGCCTCAGCCTCCCAAAGTGCTGGGATTACAGGTGTGAGCCACTGCACCCTGAAGTAGTCACCAGATTCTTTTAGTTTTTCCTTTAAAGTATCTTTTTCTTTTTGGCCCATTTTTCAATAGGCCTTTGTCCTCTTGTGCTTGATTACAGGAATAGCCTGCCCCCTAACATCTTTGACTCTCCCATTTCTGGTCCCTAATGTATATTTTTCTAAGGCTACTTGTATTTGAAGATTGTTTTAATTGTCTTTTCTCAGTGCCCAATTAAGTTGTGTTATTTTTTCCACATTATTTAGCCACTATAGCTAGTTTCAAAGGCCTTTCATAATCTGGTATCATCCTACCTTGTCCTACTTTATTTCCTACTTTTCTCAAACTCATCTTCATTCTTGTTAGCCTAGTCTTCCTACTTTCGACAGATACTCCAGAATTTTTTTTTAGCTCTCCCTTTACCCATTTGTATTTCCTTTTCCTATATGTTACTTTTTTCTTCTACTTACCATTTCTAACTATTCTTCAAATCCCAATGCAAGTCCTACATATCTTTTGTATAAATTATCTAATGATTATTTTAGCCTTTACCTATTTCTCTCTTTAAATTCTTTAGTATTAATTGTCATTCTTAATTATTTACTAGCTTAGGCCGGGCGCCGTGGCTCACTTCTGTAATTCTAGCACTTTGGGAAGCCAAGGCAGGCAGATCACTTGAAGTCAGGAGTTCGAGAGCAACCTGGCCAATGTGACAAAACCCCATCTCTGCTAAAAATACAAAAATTGGCCAGGCGTGGTGGTGGGCAGGAGAATCACTTGAATTTAGGAGACAGAGGTTGCAGTGAGCCAACATCACACCACTGCATTCCAGCCTCCGTGACAGAGTGAGACTCCATCTCAAAAAAAAAACAATTTAAAAATAAAAGTATTTACTAGCTTGGATTGTTCACTGTTACGTAACATTCACACTTTTTGAGGAAAGGGACCATGCCTACTCTATATACAAACCATAGATGGTAATGAATATTTAACTATCAGAATGCTTCATTGTTTTAAACAAATGTTAAAATGTGGGAAAGGAAAATATTCTTTGTATTTTAATGTTTTGAGAAAATTTCTTATGAAACACCTTGTGCTATATGTATTACATTTGTTAGAACATTATCGTTGTTGCTTTTCTAAGTAGAGTGCATGTATGTATATACATATATGTGTGTGTGTGTGTGTGTGTGTGTGTTTAGGTTTTTCTCCCCCTACCTTTTGTTAGTCATAGTTTTTCAGTGGTTTCCTAAGGTTACTGTTGTGATTGTTTGATGAGGGTTTTAAAAATCATTATTATAAGCCTCATGGAATGCTATGGATATTAGAGCATTTGTTAATACAATAATGCAACCAAATCACCTTGTGTTACAACTATAGTGCATTGTGTGGCTTACCTAAAATCATAGTGTATCTTGTAAGAAATTGAATACTACTGTCCAACAGACTTGAGTATGGTTGTCCAAGATGAACCACTTCTTTCCCAGTGAGGGATTCTTTTTCCTCTCCCAAGCTACATCAGTGATAAAAAAAATTTTGAGTTGGCCAGGTACGGTGGCTCATGTCTGTAATCCCAGCACTTTAGGGGGTTGAGGCGGGTGGATCACAAGGTCAGGAGATTGAGACCATCCTGGCCAACATGGTGAAACCCTGTCTCTACTGAAAATACAAAAATTAGTCTGGCATGGTGGCACGCGCCTGTAGTCCCAGCTACTCGGGAGGCTGAGGCAGGAGAATTGCTTGAACCCAGGAGGCAGAGGTTGCAGTGAGCTGAGATGATACCACTGCACTCCAGCCTGGTGACAGAGGGAGACTCCGTCTCAAAAAAAAAAAAAAAAATTGTGTTAATGGCTGAGGAAATATTTTCTGCATTTTGGTTCAAAATATTGTTTAGTAGTCTTTTATTTTTTGAATTTCTCATTTAATGATGTTTTACTGTAGGCATTTTTTTCAGATTTGACTAAAGTGTATTAACTGGACAAATTTCAATACTGTATTAAAATTGTATCCGTAAGCCTATTTATAAGTATATATAATTCTGATTATATTATACTGATTTTTTCTTTATTGACATATATTCTAATTTTATTTATAAATAAATTATAGTATTATAACTAAAATTTATATTCATTTATTTGTGGTGAGTTTTGATAAAGAGTTGTCTAGGTTAGCAGAAAAATTATAAACATAAGCATTTTGATTATTTTAGAGGAAATTGCAGATAATGTATTGTTTGGCATCAGATTATCTCTTAACTATTATAACCAAAAGTACAGCCACAACAGTATTTTGATACCTTTCTATTTGTTAAATGTATTCTTCCTCTCTGCCCACATCTCTGTTCTTGTTTCCTCTAAGGGGGAAACATACGTGGAGTTAATTCTAGGTCTCTACATTTCATTGTAAGAGATCACAGTTAACTGTTTTTTTCTGTTGATATAGAAAAAAAAGTTTCTCCTCACCTGGGTGCAGTGGCTCATGCCTATAATCCCATCACTTTGGGAGGCCAAGGCAGGCAGATCACCTGAGATCAGGAGTTCGAGACCAGCCTGGTCAACATGGCGAAACCTCGTCTCTACTAAAAATAGGCATGGTGGTGCACGCCTGTAATCCCAGCTACTTGGAAGGCTGAGGCAAGAGAATCATCTGAACCCAGGAGATGGAGGTTGTAGTGAGCTGAGATAGCACCATTGCACTCCAACCTGGGCAACAAGAGTGAAACTCCATCTCAAAAACAAAAGCAAAAACAAAAAAAGAAAAGAAAAAGTTTCTCCTCTAGTACAGGGATACTCAAATGGTTATATATAGATAATATAAATTTATTTACATTATTTATTTATACTTTTCCTTGTTTTAGAAAAAATTTAAGAGCGCTTACAAAAAATACGTAAAATATATTAGCAAGGTAGAAATTAAAAGTGGAAACTAGACAGTAAAGACAGACAAGGATGGGAACATAAAATGGAAGTAAGAAAATACATGTCTTAACCAACTGTGTGTGTTTGTGTGTATACATATACTTGTCTATAATCAAGATATATGCTTTTTTTTTTTTTTTTTTGAGACGGAGTCTCGCTGTGTGGCCCAGGCTGGAGTGCAGTGGCCTGATCTCGGCTCACTGCAAGCTCCACCTCCCGGGTTCACGCCATTCTCCCGCCTCAGCCTCCGAGTAGCTGGGACTACAGGCGCCCGCCACCACGCCCGGCTAGTTTTTTGCATTTTTAGTAGAGACGGGGTTTCACTGTGTTAGCCAGGATGGTCTCGATCTCCTGACCTCGTGATCCACCCACCTCGGCCTCCCAAAGTGCTGGATTACAGGCTTGAGCCACCGCGCCCAGCCGATATATGCTTTTCAAAAGGGGAAACTTAGTTACTAAATTCTGTGTCTTTCAGATTTAAAAATTATGCTAATTTCCATAAGATAAAAGCAAACCATTAACTATTTTTGGTACTAAGACCAAACAGAAATTTCTCTCAGAGGAGGATCTTCTTTTTTTATTATTTTATTTTATTTTATTTTATTTTATTTTATTTTATTTTATTTGAGACGGAATCTTGCTCTGTTGCCCAGGCTGGAGTGCAGTGGCGCGGACTCCGCTCACTGCAACCTCCACCTCCTGGGTTCAAGCCATTTTCCTACCTCAGCCTCCCGAGTAGCTGGGACTACAGGCGCCCGCCACCACGTCCAGCTAATTTTTTTATTTTTAGTAGAGACGGGGTTTCACCGTGTTAGCCAGGATGGTCTCAATCTCCTGACCTCGTGATCCACCTGCCTCAGCCTCCCAAAGTGTTGGGATTACAGGCGTGAGCCACTGCGCCCGGCCGGATCTTCTTTTTTAAAAAAATAGAGTCTTACTCTATTGCCCAGGCTGGAGTGCAGTGGCACAATCTCAACTCACTGCAACCTCCATCTCCCAGGTTCAAGGGATTCTCATGCCTCAGCCTCCCAGGTAGCTGGAATTACAGGCAAGCGCCACCACGCCCAGCTAATTTTTGTATTTTTCGTACTGATGGGGTTTCACCATATTGGCCAGGATGGTTTCGAACTCTTGACCTCAGGTGATCTGCCCGCCTTCGCCTCCCAAAGTGCTGGGATTACAGGCGTGAGCCACCGTGCCCGGCCTCAGAGAGGGATCTTCATAAAAAGAATGTTGATATAATGAGCAAATTCTTCTACAGCCTTTTATCAATCACTCACAATTTTCATTGGATTTCTAATAGATGCATGGCATCCTATCAAAATTAATCTCAGGCATTCCCGCCTGCCCTCCTTCCCTCTTTCCCTCCTTCCCTCCCTCCCCTTTCCTTTCTCCTCCCCACCCCACTCCACCAAAAAAAATCAGTTTCAGTAAAGGAGGCCCCACAGGGAATGAGTACTTTGTGGCTAGTTTTATGCTGATCTGGATTGATCCAGGATAGAGTTTTAAATATCTGAAAGAATGGATATACATTATATGTTCTTGCAAGTTATCTTTTCTAAATATTCTTTGTCTCAAACAAGACGTTGATAAAGATAGTATGGCAAATGAGTTTGGCATTATATTCCCTAACAAACACCTGCAAAATACCCATTTGATGATTCTGGTTGAACTCAAATCAGACCCACTGTTTGTAATAGACCATTAATCTGAGGGCACAAGTGACATTCTCTTGTGCAAGGCGATGAGTCTTCCATTTTGGACAACCATCTCATTATATTTATTATGCAATGAAGTGTATTTGCTAGTAATTTTGTTTAATTTCTACCACATGCAGAAAATTGGAGATTCATACCGTGGCTACTGTGTAAGTGAGACTGAATTAGAAAGTGTCCTAACATTTCACAAGCAGCAAACACAGAGTGTTTGGGGGACCCGTCAGTCTCCAAGCCCAGCCAAGCCTGCTACACGCTTGATGTGGAAATCCCAGTATGTTCCGTATGATGGAATCCCATTTGTTAATGCAGGTACTTTTTTAAAGACTTATTTTAAAAGGTTCAGCAGCAGCCGTAGTCCATTGTGAAAATGTGATTTTCCTAAGGTGATACAATTTTATTATGGTAGCTGACAATTGAATGCTAATTGAAATGCATATTAAATTGAAAAAACTTATAGTAAATATAATCAATTACCTTATAAGATTGCATTTTAATATATCAGAATGAGTAAGACGTCTTTCATATATTATACTGAAAAATAAAATATCGAAGTTTCAGTTAACCTGTTTAATAAAATATTAAAAGAGCAATTTTACTTTAAATATATACATCAGCTGTGTTTTTTCCCTTCAGATTAAATATTTTAGCCTTCTCTCTTAATTTGTTTTGTGGGGGAAATTTGTGTGTATTTTGTGTAGCTTGTAACTCTGGAGCTACTGTATAGAATTTGTATACAATCTGGAGTTATAGAATTCTGATACTAAAGTTCTCAAGCATTAGGTATGTTATATACAGTATTCTTAGAGACTGGGTTAGTTGTTTACTAAGGGAGTAGTTTCAAGCAAATCTCTTAGACTAGTTAAAGCCCCAAAGAATCTAAAACTAAGCAATTTATTTTAGGACTATGAGGGCAGTAATTTAGCTGAAAGAGTTGCAGTTTCATCCTGGACCTCTGAGGTTAATGAGAAATACTTAAGAGAAGATGAGATAAATGTAACCACTTCTGCCTGAGTTTCATCAGTAGTCTATAAAAGAAATGCAACATTAAAAATAAATGAGCTGGGTTATTTGTTTATTTATATATTTATTTATTTATTTATTTTAAATGTGGTGGCTCATGCCTATAGTCCCAGCACTTTGGGAGGCCAAAGCAAGAGGATTGCTTGAGCCCACGAGTTTGAGAGAATCCCTGGGCAAAACAGAGAGACCTCATCTTTACAAAAAAATAATAAATTACCTGGACGTGGTGGCATGGGCCTATAGTCCCAGCTATTTGGGAAGCTGAGGTAGAAGGATCACTTGACCCTTGGAGGTCGAGGCTGCAGTGAACCATGATCATGCCACTGCACTCCAGCCTGTGTGGCAAAGTAAGACCCTGTCTTAAAAAAACAAACAAACAAACAAACAAACAAAAAACTAACAAATAATAAAATGAACTTGAAATCCTGTAGCCTTCCTTTTTCCCATCCTAGATCTAATCTCCTTAACCCTCCATAGGTAACTACTACATGAATTTCATGTGTATCATTCTAGTCTATATTTTTATACTTTACCTTACATATTGTATCTACAATAATATATTTTATTGTTTTGGATTTTTTTAAATGTGTAAATAGTAAAGTATAGATATTGTTTTGCAAATTTTTTCACTCACCCTTTTTTTTTTACATCTATTGGTATTGATATTTATAAATCCTAGTTAATCCAATTTAATCATTGTATAATATTCCAGCATATGACCAAACCAGTAATTTTCTATTGATCATCATTTAGGTTGTTTCCAACTTTTCATTATTACGAAGAATGCTGTAGTGAAACCTCCACACTATATATACTCTAATGAAAAAGCTGTAATTAGTTTTTCTAGAATTACAATTGTGAATTATGGTTGTGAATTATGCCCATTTCATCTTTACAAGATTATCTTAAAATTGCTCTCAAAAGTGATTGTACAGATCCAGAATCCTTTTGAAATTTTTTGGACCACATATATTTCAGAATTCTGAATTTTTTTAATGTAATGTGGTAACATTATGGAATACTCCTAGCAGGTATTCTATAGACCAGCAGTCCCCAATCTTTTTGGCACCAGGGACTGGTTTTGTGGAAGACGGTTTTTCCACGGACCGGGATGGGGGATGGGGGATGGTTTTGAGATGACTCAAGCACATTACATTTATTGTGCACTTTATTTCTATTACTACATTGTAATATGTAATGAAACAATTACACAACTCACCAGAATGTAGAGTCAGTGGGACCCCTGAGCTTGTCTTCCTGCAACTAGCAGGTCCCAGCTGGAGGTGATGGAAGACAGTGACAGATCATCAGGCATTAGATTCTCATAGGGAGCCTGCAACCTAGATCCCTTGCATGTGCAGTTCCTAACAGGGTTTGTGCTTCTATGAGAATCTAATGCTGCCACTGATCTGACAGGAGGCAGGGCTCAGGAGGTAATGCAATTGATGGGGAGTGGCTGTATATACAGGTGAAGCGTTGCTGGCTTGCCCACTGCTCACCTCCTGCTGTGCGGCCTGGTTCCTAACAGGCTACAGACTGATAGTGGTCCATAGTCTGGAGGTTAGAGACCCCTGCTATAGCCAATATCACATAATCAAACACTAATTCTTTATTAGATAGTCATACCAAGAGAAACAAATAAAGACTATAAATAACCTCACACAGCTCAGGCCTGGTTTTGCAGCCAAGTGAGTCCTGAAAAAACTGTTTTCTGAGCTTTTTGGATTTCAGATTTGTACATAAGGGTTTGACAACTTGTGCCAATTTTCACTCCTGTCAGCAGTTGTGTGAAAATTTCATTTCTCCATATTTACTTCATGACTTAGCTTTGCCAGGTGTTTAAAATCTTTTTTTTTTTTTTTTTTTTTTTTTTTTTTTTTTTTTTTTGAGACAGGGTCTCACTCTGTCATCCAGGCTGGAGTACAGTGGTGTGATCTCAGCTCACTGCAATCTCAATCTCCTTGGCTCAAGAGATCCTCCTGCCTCAGCCTCCTGAGTAGCTGGGACTACAGGCATATGCCACTATGCTCAGCTAATTCTTGCATTTTTTTTTGTGGAGATGAGGTTTTGCCATGTTGCCTAGGCTGGTCTCAAACTCCTAAACTCAAGCAATCTGCCCACCTCAGCCTCCCAAAGTGCTGGTATTACAGGCGTGAGCCACTGCCCAGCCTTAAAAAACCTTTAAATTATGGAAATTTTTACATGTGAATCAAAGAGATAATAATATAAGAAACCCCATGACTCCAGGTGTCTGTCTTCCAGCTTCAACGACTGTCAGTTTATGGTCAATCTTGTGTCATACCCCTTACAATTCCTCATTCCCTAGATGGTTTTGTAGCACATTTCAGATATATCATTCCTTCTGTAATTACTAAAGTATATGGTGTATAGTAAAGCATATGACTCTAAAAGATAAGGACTCCTTACATATGTCTATACATATATGTGTGTATATATATACACACACATATATATATATCAATCCCATTATCACACTTAAGAAAATTCATAGTAACTTTTTAATGTTATAAAATGTTCAGTGTTTACATTTTCCCGCTTATCTCACAGGTTTTTTCCCCCCCTTAAAGGTTGTTGAAATTCAAATCCAAACAGCATCTACAGACTGCATTTAGTTAATAAATCTCTTAAACTTCTTTTAATTTGAAGATTTCTCTCCTCTTCTAGGTAGTTTGTTCTGTAATATTTGCCATATTCTGGGTTTTGCTTATTCCATCTGTGTGATGTAGTTTTTGTTCTTTATCTCTTCTGTTTTCTGTAAACAGGTCTAGAGCCTTGATTAAATGCAGATTTGATTTTTGCAAGAATACCTCCTCCTGTGCTGTGTACTTATTGCCATCTGTGTGTGTCTCTGTTTGTGGTGTTCAGATTGATCGGTGGATTCAGTTGTTTTAGAGTATTGTCAAATGTTTTTATTTTTGCCAATCCAAGGAGTATGAGATAGTATTTTACTGTTGTTTTAATTTGCATTTCCCTGTTTACCTGTAAAGTTGAACATCTTTTTCTTTGTTCATTTACTACCTTTTTTTTCTTTCTGACTTGGCTATTCATAGCCTTTGCCCATTTTTCTGAGTGGTTGTTTATTAATTATTTATGATTGTTTGTAGTTTACATAGTAATTCTACATGGAGAATTACTATGTTATATATGTTATAAAATGCTATTTCTCACACTATTACTTTTATATTTACTTATGGTATCTTCTAAACAGAAGTTTTTATATTTTAGTGTCAGTTTTATCAACATTTTTGTTAGTAACTGGTGTTTTTATTTTATATTTTAAAAGTTTGCTGTATCCTACAGTAGTGTAAGATACTCAGCTTAAAATCAAGTTATATAATTTTCACATCTACTTATTTGTATTATCTATTGCTGTGTAACAAATTATACCAAACTTAGTGGCTGAAAACAACAAATGTTAATTATCTCACAGTTTCTGTGAGTCAGGAATCCAAGAGTGACTCAGCAAAGTGGTTCAGCTGCAGTCATCTCATGACTTGACTGAGGGAGCGTCTTCTTTCAGATTCACTCTTGTGGCTGTCAGCAGGCCTTACTCCTTGCCATGTGGGCCTTTCCACAGAGCTCCCTTACCACATGGCAGCTGATTACATCCAGAGAGAGCAATTCAAGCAAGAGTAAGAGAGAGTAGCCAGATGGAAGTTACAGTCTTTTTATAACCTAATATCAAAAATAACTTCCTATCACTTTTGCCATATTTATTAAACATAAGTTAATAAGTCTAGCCCATGTTCAAGGGAAGGGGGTTACTCAAGGGCATGAATACTAGAAGGAATGGATTACTGGGGGCCATCTTAGGGCTGGCTGCTGTATTAACATCCCAAATAAAAATAAGAAAATAATTATAAAAGGAAATAAAAATATAAATACTAATATTTATTAACCAAATGTAACATTTGCTCACTATTTATAAAGTGGTATAAAAGCCATATGTCAGGTGGGGCACAGTGGCTCATGCCTCTAATCGCAGCCCTTTGGGAGGCCAAGGCAGGCGGATCACTTAAGGTTAGGAGTTCAAAGGCAGGTGGATCCCTTGAGGTTAGGGGTTCAAAACCAGCCTGGACAACATGGCAAAACTCTGTCTCTACTAAAAATACAAAAATTAGTCTGGCGTGGTGGCACACACCTATAGTCCCAGCTACTCAGGAGGCTGAGGCAGGAGAATTGCTTGAACCCAGGAGGTGGAGGTTGCAGTGAGCCAAGATCACGCCACTGCACTCCAGCCTGGGTGACAGAGTGAGAGTCCGTCTCAAAAAAAAAAAAAAAAAAATTGTATGCCAGTAGACATTCAGTAAATGTGATATTCACTAATTTTCTTACCATAATTATGGTACCTTTGGTAAATTTTAAAATAAACTTTTAAATTTATATGTTTGTATATCTTAGACTTATTAATGTTTTCTTTCCTTAAAGCTGTATACTTGAAAGATTTTGACATTGCCACCACCAAGTTACTTTTAATCTAGTGTCTAGAATAGATGGACACTTGAATTAATATCAATAGTTGGTTTTGGCCCACAGGGAGTAGAGCTGTGGTAATGGAGTGTCAGTATGGGCCAAGAAGAAAAGGTTTCCAGTTAAAAAAAGTCAGTGAGCAGGAAAGCAGGTCTTGTCAGCTCTACAAAGCCACTTGTCCAGCTCGGTAAGCTTTATTTTCTTTTATTTGTTTTTTATTAAGAACTTATTTTTGAATAGCTAATACACATATTTTATTAGGTTTATACAGTACTGAAAAGTATACAGTGAATTCTAAGTTTTCTCTTACGCACGTTTGTTCTGTCTTTAAAGCAACAACTCTTACTAGTTTTGAGTCATCTTCCAAAGATATTCTGTGTATATGGATGCATATAAAGGCAGAAACAGAGATCTCCTTCTCTACCCCTATAAATGTTGTTGAAAATCTCAGTAAAGCTCACTAATATTTTCTTTCCTTAAACTTAGATAGTAGTGTACCTTTTTTCTTGATATGAATTCACATAGATTTATTCTCAATCTGAATGCCTATTGTGGTTATCTACTGCAGAGATATGCTACATACTAGTGTTAATGTAATGACATAAACTTTCCTTTTTTTCATTCTCAGTGTATCTCAAAGCTGACTCCATATATATGTACTTACATATATATTACATATATGTACATAAAAGTACTATTTTTAATAGCCATTCCATTTATGGATGAATTATTTAATTCATGTAAGCTGTGAAAGGTATTCCTTATTAGTATTATACAAAGCTACAATTATTAACATTGTACATATTTGTGCACTCCTACAAGTGTTTCAGTAGGAAAAATTCCTAGAAATGAAATTGCTAGGGCAAAGGCTGTATCTTTTAAAAATGTTGACAAATATTGCAAAGTTACTTTTTAGAGCGATTTTATCAATTTACCAACGTAGTAAGTTCTAGATAGATTAGGACTACAGAGTAGTCATTGCTCTGGGTAAGAATGAAAAATGTGAACCAATGAAAGATTTCACAATGTCCTTTATGAATGTAAGTTTTTTAGACATTGAAAGTATTTTAAGACTTTTTAAATATATTAAAGGTGTTTTAAACTATTCGGTAAAATAAAAAATTTAAAAGATAATATGTAGTGGTTGGACTTAGTTGATCTTTGAAACGCTTTTAGTATCACATCTCATGTTATTAATACCTCAGCATTCTTGGCCGAGCACAGTGGCTCACACCTGTAATCCGAGCACTTTAGGAGGCCAAGGCGGGTGGATCACGAGGTTAGGAGTTTGAGACAAACCTGGCCAACTGGTGAAACCCCGTCTCTACTAAAAATATAAAAAATTAGGTGGGCCCCTGTAATCCCAGCTACTCGGGAGGCTGAGGCAGGAGAATTGGTTGAATCCAGGAAACGGAGGTTGCTGTGAGCTTGAGACTGTGCCACTGCACTCCAGCCTGGGCAACAGAGCAAGACTCCATCTCAAAAAAAATAAAATAAGATAAAATAAATACCTTAGCATTCTCAAGAAGTTTTTAAAGCCCATTTACAAGGCTTTTCATATTTAATCCTATAATATTAACTTTAGGGAATATTTAAACCTGACTGTGAAACAAACTTTCAGTTGCTTTTTTTTTTTTTCCATTTAGCCTTGACTTGAAACTTTTATCAACTGCTTCTTAAATATAAGCAATATAAAAACTTTAAGTATTACTTGGGGAAAAACCTCTACATGTGAAGAAATAATTTTATTTTCCTTCGTTCTACAAGTACTTTTTGACTATCTACTCTGTGCCCAGAAACTACATTGGTTGCCATGGGAAGGAGGGAAACCAAAAGAGGAATAAAATTTTACTTAATCCCAGGGAATGGATCAGGAAACAAAAACTAGTAGACAACATGGTAGTATAGAATATAGTGTGAAATACATGATTTAACTACCTATTGAGGTATTTAAAGAAGGAATATATCCATACAAATTCATGGCAGGAAAGAAAGTACAATTTAAACTGGATGTTGAGGTTTAAATTGAATTTGGGTGGGTAGAGAGTTAGAGGGGTGATATTGTAAGTTAAGAGAACCATATAACTAAAGCTACAGAGGCCAGGTGCGGTGGCTCATGCCTATAATCCCAGCACTCTGGGAGGCTGAGGCGGGTGGATCACTTGAGGTGAGGAGTTTGTGACCAGCCTGACCAACATGGTGAAACCCTGTCTCTATTAAAAATACAAAAAAAATTAGCCGGGCATGGTGACACATGCCTAGTAATCCCAGCTACTGGGGAGGCTAAGGCAAGAGAATCACCTGTGACATTGAATTATCAAGTGGATTTAAGTAATGAAAGATTGGAGGCACAGGCCTGGAAGGAGGCTATTAAAGTAATCTAGGGCCAGGCATGGCAGCTCACGCCTGTAATCCCAGCACTTCAGGAGGCTGAGGTAGGCGGATCACCTGAGGTCGGGAGGTCAAGACCAGCCTGACCAACATAGAAAAACCCCGTCTCTACTAAAACTACAAAATTAGCCGGCAGTGGTGGCATACGCCTGTAATCCCAGCTACTAGGGAGGCTGAGGCAGGAGAATTGCTTGAATCCAGGAGGCAGAGGTTGCGATGAGCTGAGATCATGCCATTGCACTCCAGCCTGGGCAACAAGAGCAAAACTCCATCTCAAAAATAAATAAATAAATAAATAAATGTAATCCAGGCATGAGATTCTGCCTTCCAGGAGAATGAACAGAAGGCAAATCTAGGGGGAAAAAATGGTAAAGTCTGTAAATACTTAGATATTTTTCCTCAAATCATGTTTACTTTTAATTTGCTAAGTATTAATACAACTGGGAATATGGCATATATTTTATATAAGCCTCTGAATACTTTACAGATAAATAGAATTTTCTCTAAGCTTAAATGCTTAAAGTACACTTCTGGTTGATAAAATAGATTTTCTTGAGATTATAATATAATGAAACAAATTCTTCTTTATCTTGTATCAAGGATTTACATTAAAAAGGTACAGAAGTTTCCTGAATATAGAGTTCCTACAGACCCCAAAATTGACAAGAAAATTATCAGAATGGAGCAGGAGAAAGCTTTTAACATGCTAAAGAAGAACTTGGTAGATGCTGGTGGTGTTCTTAGGTATGACATTTTTATAGTTTTTATTTTATAAATTAATTAGCTCAATTTCCAATAATTATTTTGTAAGGGAAATTATAGTTTTCCAATTATTTCATTAAGTAACAGTTTTACAAGGTAGAGGTATCAATAGTTCCCTAGATATTAAATTGATTTGCCACTGTGTAAGCCATTGAGTTTCTCACCCCCAGTTGTAGATAATTCAGACCAAAGAATTATACCATACCATATAGCATATACTCTGTGTACCATATACTATGTAAAAGTTTTTTCTCAGAATGGCAGACATATTTAATATACTTTATTATATATTAGTACTTTGTTTTAGATACTTACTATGAGCAGAAACTGCAGCTGCCTGTCATTTTTTTTAAACTAATCTTTGATTACTTATGGCAGCCAGAAATGAATTCTAAGCCCTAAATAAAATTCCATTTTACACCTTTTATGCTTTAGGTTTTAAATGAGAAATATTAGCATTCTTTTTTACTTTCCTTTATGTGTCAGTCCGGGTGAATAATTTGTTACTGTATAATGGATTTAAGTGTATGGAATATCGTTTTTGTGTGATCTTTAAAAAAACTTTTAGGTATGTGAAAAATAAATTGAGTCAATAATTAGATCCTTCAATGAAAGTCAAAAATATCACTAAAACAATTAGATCCTGCAGTTTGAAGAACATTGCATATAATTTTTAAGTAGGCAGTTATCAGTCATTGTAAGAATTTTATACAGAAATATCAATTAAAGCGGTATCCTACCAGATTAGTTCATTTTCCTACCGTCTTTTTTTTTTTTTTTTTTTTCCTGCATGGCTCTCCAAGAGATCTGCATTCACCTTTAGTTAATTCTCTTGCTCACTTGGCCAGCAGGAGCTGGGAGTGCTATAGAGGCAGTATGTTGAGCTCCTGTGAGGGAAGAATCAACCATAAAGTTCAATCTTGACAGGTTCTATCTTTGATTGGAAGGATGGTAGGTGTAACAGAGAAGTGTAATTTCAGGCAAATGTTTGATGAATGGGAAAATACACAGTTCAAAAGATGATGATTTACAATGTCTTCTCTTTATTTTGAGGTAAAATGTACTTAATATGAATTTTCCCATGAACCCAAAATAATACAATTAATATGAAATTTAAAATGCCATTTTCATATATACTTAAAATTCCTCTATCTCCCTCAACTGTAGGACCACAGTGAAAATCTGTAAATATTTACAAATATTTAAATTTAATTGGATATAAAATAGATCTTAGAAGTTAAAGAGATCATTTTAAATTTTATTTGATAGGAAATAACCATATGTAATTTTTTCTTAAAGGATTAATTCTTCTCTTTATGAGTATTAACCTAAGTAATTATGATTCCTACTTTGGTCTAATAATATTAAATAATTTCAATGTTTAAATTTTAGTAATTTTAAATACTTTCTCTTACCAGGTGGTATGTACAGTTACCTACACAGCAAGCTCATCAGTATCATGAATTAGAGACTCCCTGCCTCACTTTGTCACCTTCTCCATTTCCTGTGTCTTCTGTTGAAGAAGAGGAAACTGCAGTTAGAGATGAGAATTGTGCATTACCCTCACGTTTACATCCTCAAGTAGCCCATAAGATTCAAGAATTAGTATCACAGGGAATAGAACAAGTGTATGCAGTAAGGAAGCAGCTAAGGTACAATAGAAGAGCATTGTTCTTTTACATTTTTCAGTTTTGTTTGTTGCTTTAAATAATACAGTGAACACTGGAGATATTTTCCAAAATATATGCTGTCAGGGTAGATAAGGAATATAGTTTATTATTTTATTAAGATCTTATTTATAAACTGATCGTTTTCTAACAAATGCTTGGCAAGCAACGGTGTAGTATGGTTTATTATAATTCTGATTACTCATTTGAGACATTCTATATTTGGATTTGGCAAATTGGACTATTTCTAAATGATGTATAAAATGAATTAGTTAATAAATACTTTTAAAGAAAAAACCTTTGTAGAACCAAAGATTTTAAAACCTAGGCCAAGACACGTATTTCAAACATTTTGAAATGCAGTTAAATTTTATTACAACAAGAGAATTTGGATAATTCCTTGTCTAATGAAATTTTATTTGTAGTACTCTGGTCTAAGTTTTTTGATCCTCAGGAAATAATTATATAAGTAATTATATAATTACTCATTATGTGTGTGCCAGGTACTGTGCTAGGCTTTTTACATGTATGATCTCATTTAGTCTTACAATAGCACTATAAAGTTGGTATATTTATCCGAATTCTACACATGAGAAACTGGAGTCTCAGAGTGGTTAAATAATTGGCTTAAGAGGCAGTGGCAGAGCCACGCGCAGTGGCTCATGACTATAATCCCAGCACTTTGGGAGGCCAAGGAGGGCGGATCACAAGGTCAGGAGATCGAGACCATCCTGGCCAACATGGTGAAACCTCATCTCTACTAAAAATACAAAAATTAACTGGGTGTGGTGGCACGCGCCTGTAGTCCCAGCTTCTTGGGAGGCTGAGGCCGGAGAATTGCTTGAACCCTAGAGGCGGAGGTTGCAGCGAGCCGAGATTGTGACACTGCACTCTACCCTGGCAATAGAGCGAGACTCCGTCTCAAAAAAAAAAAAAAAATTAAAAAAGGCAGTGGGAGAACTGAAATTTAGGCCTAACTCTATAGCCTATGCCCATTACCATGATTTATTGATACTTAGCCTTGCTCTTACTGATTATTGTGTAATCTGATCTGAATAACAAAATAAATATAGTAAGCCCCCTCTTAAAGTCATCAATAGGTTCTTGAAAACTGCTATTTTAAGCAAAAGGAAATACAGCACGTCCTTGAGTAATATCATTCTGTTCAATGCCTTTTTTTCTCTTTTTTTTAACTTTTTTTGTAAAAGAGACAGGGATCTTGCTATGTTGCCCAGGCTGGTCTTGAAATCCTGGCCTCAAATGATCCACCCAAGAAGATGGGATTGCAGGAGCAAGCCACTGCACCTGATTCAGTGTTGTTTTCTTACAGCATTGGAGAAAGTAATTTGGTTTTGTTGTGTCCTTTCACTTAAGGTCTCAGTTTCCAGGAACCTAACAATGATGTTAACTGAGAACTTACTGTAATTCCTAGAATTATTTCCTAATTAATACATGACTTTTCTATTTAGCAGTTTTCTTAGATGTTTTATATTTATTTCCATTGGGGCATCATTAGCATAAGGCAAAAATTTGGTAAAGCCATTCACTATTTACTAAACCTGAATCTTAAGAAAGGAAGTATAATACAGTTCTGTGATTTGGTCCACCAAATGTAATAAGCATATATATGTTAAATTTTATCATTTCTTTTATGTATTGATTTTTTAATACAATTAAATAACAGTGCTGCCTTCTATTTCTATCTTCTTTTGTCTCCGTGTAAAATTCAAGCCCATCATATTTCATATAATGTTAATTGATGCTTTTGGAAGCAATGTAACATGATGTTTACGCACATAACCTGGGTATAGGCCCAAGCTCTTATTTACTAGGTAGGTGTATGATTTTGGGCAAATTATTTCACTTCTACAGTACTCAGTTCTATCATCTGTAAAGTGGGAATGATAATTGTACCTATGTCGTTGATCATTAAGGGTTAAAGGAGATATTTGATGTGAAGTGTTCCATACAGTGCCTGACATAGTAATCATTAAAAACATTATACTTAAACTGAAAATAGTGGTTTCTTTAAATTCATAAAAATATCAAAGCTCAGCCGGGCGTGGTGGCTCATGCCTGTAATCCCAGCACTTTGGGAGGCCAGGGCAGGTGGATTGCGAGGTCAGGAGATCGAGACCAGCCTGGCCAACATAGTGAAACCCGGTCTCTACTAAAAATACAAAAAATTAGTCGGGCGTGGTGGCACACTCCTGTAGTCCCAGCTACTCGGGAGGCTGAGGCAGGAGAATCGCTTGAACCCAGGAGGCAGAGGTTGCAGTTGAGCCGAGATCACGCCACTGCACTGTAGCCTGAGCAACAGAGCGAGACTCCATCTCAAAAAAATTAATAATAACAAAACTCACTCTAATATATTTAGATGTTTACCAATGAAAATATTACGTTTCTGTAGTCTACAATAATTCTGTGTTGTATGGGAAAATTTTAAGTAGGAAAATATAAATTACTTACAGAGGTATAAACCATACTTCATAGAGGTTTATACTGAAAGAGAACCTTTATCTCTTTGAATCTAAAGGCATATTGCTAAATAGTTTATGTCTTTATTCCATTTTGTATTCTTTACAGAAAATTTGTGGAAAGGGAACTGTTCAAACCCGATGAGGTACCTGAAAGACATAATTTATCTTTTTTTCCAACTGTAAATGATCTAAAAAATCACATCCATGAGGTACAGAAATCCTTGAGAAATGGAGATATGGTATATAACTCAGAGATTATTCCGGCAACGGTATGATTACAACCATAATTCCTTATTACAGAGTTTCTCAGCTTCTGTTAATATTTAGTCTAATAAGAATGGCTACTGTTAGGCCATCTGAATAACTGCAGTATAAGAAAATATAATAGCCTAGGTGTGGTAGCTCATGCCTGTAATCCCAATACTTCGGGAGGCCAAGACGGGTGGATCGCCTGAGGTCAGGAGTTTGAGATCAGCCTGGCCAACACGGTGAAACCCCATCTCCACTAAAAATACAAAGATTAGCTGGGCCTGGTGGTGGGCGCTTGTAATCCTAGCTACTCAGCAGGCTAAGGCAGGAAAATCACTTGAACTCAGGAGGTGGAGGTTGCAGTGAGCCAAGATTGCACCACCGTACTCCAGCCTGGGAGACTCAGCGAGACTCTGTCTCAAAAATGTATATATATGTATAGCATCTTTTTCTTAAAATGTAAATACTCTGAATGTTTAGAAAATGACTAAAAGTTTTTTATTACTTTCACAAGAAGAAAAATCAGTGAATTCCAACTCTATAATAAAAACACTACCCAGGCACAGTGGCTCGTGCCTGTAATCCCAGCACTGTGGGAGGCCGAGGCTGGCAGATCACCTGAGGTCAGGAGTTCGAGACCAGCCTGACCAACATGGCAAAACCCCGTCTCTGCTAAAAATACAAAAATTAGCTGGGTGTGGCTGGGCGCAGTGGGTCACGGCTGTAATCCCAGCACTTTGAGAGGCCGAGGTGGGCAGATCACAAGGTCAGAAGATCAAGACCATCCTGGCTAACACATCTTTACTAAAAATACAAAAAATTAGCCGGGCATGGTGGCGGGCGCCTGTAGTCCCAGCTACTTGGGAGGCTGAGGCAGGAGAGTGGCGTGAACCCGGGAGTCAGAGCTTGCAGTGAGCCGAGATCACACCACTTTACTCCAGCCTGGGCAACAGAGTGAGACTCCATCTTAAAAAACAAAAAAAAATTAGCTGGGTGTGGTGGTGCGTGTCTGTAATCCCAGCTACTTGGGAGGGTGAGGTAGGAGAATCGCTTGAACCTGGGAGGCAGAGGTTGCAGTAAGCTGAGATAGCACCACTGCACTCCAGCCTGGGAGACTGAGTGAGACTTCATCTCAAAAACAACAACAACAGAAAACCACTAATCTTTATTTTAAAATCAACATGTATTTTCTCTGTAAAAATTATTCTTACTAATTTAACAGACATTTATTGAGTACTATGTATATATTTCCCCTCCCTTTTTTAATAAATGGGCAAATTTAAATACAGTTGTTTGGGCCGGGTGCATTGGCTCGTGCCTATAATCCTAGCACTTTAGGAGGCTGAGGCAGGTGGAACACCTGAGATCAGGAGTTCGAGACCAGCCTGGCCAACACAGTGAAACTAAATTTCTACCAAAAATACAAAAATTAGCTGGACGTGGTGGCAGGTGCCTATAGTCCCAGCTACTCAGGAGAGTGAGGCAGGAGAATCACTTGAATCCGGGAGGCAGAAGTTGCAGTGAGCCGAGATCATGCCATCACACTCCAGCCTGGGTGACAACAGCAAAACTCCATCTCAATAAATAACTAAATATCCATCCATCCATCCATCCATCCATCCAGTTGTTCATACCTGATTGCCCAAAGTGATAACGTTGATTCCATATGTCATCTATGGATATCAGTTGAACTCATACTTATTTTTTTATTTTTTATTTTTTTTTGAGACAGAGTCTCTCTCTCTTGCTCAGGCTGGATTGCAGTGGCATGATCCTGGCTTATTGCAACCTCCATCTCCCAGGTTCAAGCGATTCTCCTGCCTCAGCCTCACAAGTAGCTGGGATTACAGGTTTTAGCCACCATGACCAGCTGATTTTTTGTTTTTATTAGAGACAGGTTGCACCGTGTTGGCCAGGCTGGTCTTGAACTCCTGATCTCACGTGATTTGCCCTCCTCGGCCTCTCAGAGTGTTAGGATTACAGGCATGAGCCACCGCGCCCGACCTTAACTCATAGTTTGATATGGTAGTTTCTCCCTGAATATTAGTCATTTCTATGAAAACTTTGCCTACTCTGAAGATGTTAATTACCCAGAAACAACTAATTACAATACAGCCAGTGATTATGCCATTAAATCTGAGGTGCAATATCTTTTTTTTTTTTTTTTTTTTTGAGACAGAGTCTCGCTCTGTCGCCCGGGCTGGAGTGCAGTGGCCGGATCTCAGCTCACTGCAAGCTCTGCCTCCCGGGTTCACGCCATTCTCCTGCCTCAGCCTCCCGAGTAGCTGGGACTACAGGCGCCCACCACAGCGCCCGGCTAATTTTTTGTATTTTTTTAGTAGAGACGGGGTTTCACCGTGTTAACCAGGATGGTCTCGATCTCCTGACCTCGTGATCCGCCCGTCTCGGCCTCCCAAAGTGCTGGGATTACAGGCTTGAGCCACCGCGCCCGGCCTGAGGTGCAATATCTTTTGCTCTCCTAACTTCTGTTATCCAAATGCAGTATCTGAAAAAATATGGATATTTTAAAAGCCAAAACTGTTTCTTGCAATCTATAACTCTTTGTCTTTTTTCTTTTTTTTTTTTTTAAGATAGAGTTTCACTGTCGCCCAGCCAGAGTGCGCTCACACAATCATGGCTCACTGCAGCCACGACCTCCAAGACTCAAGCAGTCCTCCCACCTTAGACTCCTGTCAGCTGGAGCTACGGGCACCAGCCATCACACCTAGCTAATTTTTTAATTTTTTGTAGAGACTGAGTCTCACTTCGTTGCCCAGGCTGATCTCAAACTCCTGGCCTCAAGCACTTCTCTAGCCTTGGCTTCCCAAGCCTTATGGGCGTGACCCACTGTACCCAGCCCAATAACTCTTAATTATTCACTATCTAAATGTTAGAAGTAATCCTTGTCATCTACACTTGTCTAAATTCCTGCTATCTAAACTCAGGAATTTAATATATTTGTATAGTAAAGTATACTTGTGCTTGGAGAATGTGAACAAGTGAAGAGAGTAGCAGAATAAATCACATACTGTGAATAAAATGCGACAGTTGTAATGACGTCTTAAGATATTTTTCAATATAAGAGCTTTATTTTTACTGAAATAAATGTTTCCATTTCAGCTTCAATGGACTACGGACAGTGGGAATATTCTCAAAGAGACCGTGACGGTTACATTTGCAGAAGGTAGGTTTTCTTGAATACGTTTAAAATATAAATTCAAACGGTGTTTAACTGGAAGGAACTTAAGATACTATGTCATCTAATCAGATTTATAGATAAGGAAACCAGGATCCAAAGACGTAGGAGCAGCTTTGTTATGGTTTATCAACATACTTCCTGCTATTTTAATTTCCTCTTATACTTTGCTTTTAATGCTTTTTTATGACTGAAATTTTGAAGCTGATAACTAGCACAGTTAACTGTAGCTAATTCACTATAAGTCTGGCTAATTCCAGTAGTCATAACCCTAAGATGCCCTGATCCGGGAACTATGGTCCATTTTTTATGGTTATTTTTTCTCCTGTGTTCTTACTGCTGTGCCCTTTCAATATTCCAAACTTATTTCCACCCTTTTGCATTTGTTCTCTCTTCTGGAAATGTCTTTTTTCTTCTGCATGGCAAACTCCTCTTAGTACTCAAATTGTAAACTCTTTTGTTTTAATACATTTGTAACTTCACCCCCTATATAAAGTTAAACCTCTGAATTTCTTTTTTTGTTTTTGAGACAGAGTGTCACTCTGTCACCCAGGCTGAAGTGAAGTGGTGCAATCTCGGCTCACTGAAACCTCCGCCTCCCAGGTTCAAGTGATTCTCCAGCCTCAGCCTCCCAAGTAGCTGGGATCACAGGCACACACCACCATACCTGGCTAATTTTTGTATTTTTAGTCAAGATGGGGTTTCGGCATGCTGCCCAATCTGATCTCAAACTCCTGACCTCAGGTGATCCACCCACCTTGGCCTCCCAAAGTGCTGGGATTACAGGCGTGAGCCACTGCGCCTGACCAAACCTCTGAATTTCTATAATGAGCAACTGACTGATAGCATTTACTGAGCTCAGCAACACTGGTGAAAGAATAGAGCATTGGTAGGGCAGGAGAGAGAATAAAGGACTTACTAGGTTTGTAAAGCTGAGTATCTGAGCCATTTCAGTGGAGTGGATTGGGAGGAAGCCATATTGGGGTGATTGAAGGGTGAATGGGAGATGAAGAAGGAGTAGGGACTCCTTAAAAAGTGCGCCACTTTTTCAGGAATTTTGCGATGGCAAATGGGGTTGAGGGAAGGTATTTTAAGAGAGTAGAGAACTGAAAAGATAGATGAAGATGGTGATGGGAAGTTGAAACTTCTGTTGGCTTCCCTTTTCTCTGTAAGAGTGCTAAGGATAAGGAAAGGTTTGAAGAAGGGTGGCATGGATTTGAGGGAAATGCAAATTAGAAACTATCCTGGATAGAGAGTAAAACATTGCCAGATACAGGTGAAGGTCCAATCAAAGTTAATAAAGAATTGGTATTAGTAGAATTAGTGAGTTTCTTTTTCAGTGGCATTCAGCTTCCCATGTATTGGGAAGGAAAGCCATTTTTATGCAGAGTTAGGGTTTTACTTGAGGGATATGACCAAAGGACAGAGAGGCAAGAGAGTTTAGGTACTTGTGAAAGAGTAACTGAAATTATAGACCTAGGACTGTAGGCTGGATGGGGAAAGAATTTTATTAAGAAAGAGGTTGATGGATCTGAAGAAAACTGAGGGATTAATTGACTGGAGGTTCACATGAGGTTGAAGAACAATTGTAGTGAAGTGCCTGAGCAAAATCTCTGGAAGAATAAGAGATTGTAGCTGGGCACAGTGGCTCCCACCTGTAATCTCAGAACTTTGGAAGGCCAAGGTAGGCAGATCATTTGGGGTCAGGAGTTTGAGACCAGCCTGGCCAACATGGTGAAACCTCGTCTCTACTAAAAATATAAAAATTAGCTGGGCATGGTGGCACATGCCTGTAATCCCAGCTACTCAGGAGGCTGAGGCAGGGGAATCGCTTGAACCCGGGAGGTGGAGGTTGCAGTGAGCCGAGATCACGCCACTGCACTCCAGCCTGGATAGCAGAGCAAGACTCCATCTCGAAAACAGAATAAAAATAAAAAAATAAGAGGTTGTGATCAGAGAATGAGCTGTTTGAACTTCAGATGTTAGAGGTAGGATCATCCAGAGTATGATGATAGTGGTGGGTGACTACAGTAGTGAAGTAAAAGGACATTAATAATGAAGAAGCCAAGAAATGCTTGAGTGCTATTTAGTCCTCTCAGTGGTCCATTGAGAAAGGACTCTTATGCTGATTTTACAGATGAGGAAGCTAAAGTTTAGAAACTGAGTTATAGGATGGATGCAGTGACTCACGCCTGTAATCCCAGCACTTTGGGAGGCCAAGGTAGGTGGATCACCTGAGGTCAGGAGTTCAAGACTAGCCTGGTCAGCATGGTGAAACCCTGTCTCTACTAAAAATATAAAAATTAGCTGGGCATGGTGTCACATGCCTGTAGTCCCAGCTACTCAGGAGGCTGAGGCAAGAGAATCGCTTGAACCCGGGAAGCAGAGGTTGCAATGAGCCGAGATTGTGCCACTGCACTCCAGCCTGGGCAACAGAGCGAGTCTGTCTCAAAAAAAAAAAAAAAAAGAAAGAAAGAAAAGAAACTGAGTTATATAGCATATTGAAGGTCACACAGAAAGCTAGTACTTAAATCCATTCTTCTCTGATACTATGGCCATTTTAAAATTAGTATGGAAGCAATAAATATTCATTGATAATTAGGTTTTCTTTTTCTGTTTTGAGAAAGGATTTCACTCTGTCACCCATACTTGAGTGCAGTGGGACGATCTTGGCTCATTGTACCCTCTGCCTCCCGTGCTCCAGCGATCCTCCCACCTTAGCCCCCCAAGTAACTGGGACTACAGGCACATGCCACCACACCCGGCTAATTTGTGTATTTTTACTGGAGACAAGGTTTCACCATGCTGCCCAGGCTGGTCTCAAATTCCTGGTCTCAAGTTATCCATCTGCCCCGGCCTCCCAAAGAGCTGAGATTACAAACGTGAGCCACTTCACCTGGCTGATAATTAGTTCTTCATTGACTTAAAGAGATGAATATATGTGAGTTAACATATAAGAATTACATGAGAATGATTCACATTCCCAACAATTAGTTTAAATTTGAGATATTAAGAAAACAGTTTTAATTTTTATTCATTTATACCAAAATGAGTTATTGAAATAAATTTAATGCTGTTATCATTAAAGACCAATTTTTCCAGGTATTGTCCTAGTTACTAGGGCTACAAAAGGTGAATTAAGTTTGATGTTAATTGAGAAGCTCCTTAGATTTCACACATCTAGAGAAGCTTAGTATAGTCCAGCATTATAGTACAGAGAACAGACTAGATTCGAGTTACAGATATAGTGTATTTCAAGGTAAAAAAAATATGTATATATAGTTGTGCCTCTGTATCTATGGGTTCTGTATCCATGGCTTCAACAAACCACTGATAAAAAATGTATTTTTAATTGGATGTGTACCAAACATGTACATATATTTTTTCCTTCTTATAATCTAGAGATGATATAAAGTATATTGGAGGACTTCTACCTTGTATTGTGTATTATAGGTAATCCAGAGAGGATTTAAAGTTTGTGGGAGTATATGCTTAGATTATATGCAAATACTATGCCATTTTATATCAGGAACTGAGCATCTGCAGATTTTTATTTCTGGCGGAGGTCCTGTAACCAGTCTCCCATGGATATGGAGGGAGAATCCCATTCTAGATCTACCAAATTAAAATTAATGGAGGTTAAACCTAGGAATCTATATTTTCTTAAACATCCCTTAGAGATTCTCATTATCTGCCAGGTTCTGCAAATAGTGGGCTACATCAGCAGTCCCCAGCCTTTTTGGCATCAAGGACCGGTTTTGTGGAACACAATTTTTCCACAGACCCAGGGTGGAGAGTTGGGGGGATGGTTTTGGGATGAAACTCTTCCACTTCTGATCATCAGGCATTAGATTCTCATAAGGAGCATGCAACTTAGATCCTAGAATCTAATGCCTCTGCTGATCTAACATGAGGTAGAGCTCACGCAGTAAGGCTTGCTTGCCCCATGCTCACCTCCTGCTGTGCAGCCCAGTTCCTAACAAGGTACAGACTGGTAGGGTCAGGGACCCTTGGGCTAGATGACTTACTGAAGTCCTTTGCAACTTTGAAATTAGTTCCTATTTTAGTTCTGATAGAAAGGGTTGTAATAAAGTATTTTTATGACTTCAGAGAAGCCATAAAAATTATTTTGTTTTAATAGTTTCTTTAATATAATTTAGGAAATTCACCAGGAGAATCAATTACCACCAAAGTGGAAACAAATCAGACAGGGGGTTCTTTGTCTCCTGAGCCAACCCACTTGCTCTCCTCACTCTCCTCATTTCAGCCCAAAATATTTACACAACTGCAGGTAGGTATCCAGTAAAATATCCAGATTTGAGGTCCTTCTCTTTATTCCTCACTTCACCTCTTCTTCTAGGGATTTTAGAGAATTGTTACAGAATTATAATAATGATCAAATATGTTTTCATTGTTAATTTCCTGATCTTTTTGTTTCTTGATTTAAGATAACTCAAACAGTATGTTTTTTAAAAGTTTAAGGTTGACTATGAATGCAATAAATTTAGTTGTACTACTTTTCCCTTGATTCTTGTTTCTTTCTTCATTTAATATTTATTTGTAACCATACTCTTTTTATTTGTTTGGATTTTTTGTCAAAAGAATAGTATATCCTATGAGAATATCATACATGGTAAATTCAAACATTTTGATATAACTCTTTTTGGTTTAAAAGGGTTTGCAGTTACAACCAAGGTTCACCTCTCCTGATGAATCACCAGCTCTGATATCAGTAAATAACCAGCCATCCTCTAGTCCTTCAGGACTTCTGGATCCAATAGGAAGTGCTGTAATGAATAATAATTCTCTACTGCTTGGTCAAAGTCATAGCCTTCAAAGAGATACATGCCTAACCCAAAACAATGGTACTGCCTCCACCATGGGTAACCTTCCAGAACCAGATCAAAATCTAGTTGCAATGGACCAGCTGGTAGAAGTTGGAGGTGTTGAGGATACAGGGAATCTGGAAGGAACTGTTCATCGAATTCTGTTGGGAGATGTGCAGACTATTCCAATACAGATTATAGACAACCACTCAGCTCTTAGTAAGTTGAAATCAATTTATGATGTTATTGTTGTAACCTTTGTGGATTATCAACACTGTATTATACTATAAATAAAACTATTATTTCTTCCCAGTGGGTCTCTGATATTATATAAGTGAAGCAAAATTATGAGAGAGAAGGAGGAGATTTCATTAGCCTGAGTTTTAGAACTTTTAAGCTTAAATTTTTTTCTTCTCCTTATTTCTAATTATTTAATGCCGTAGAAATTACTGTTCCCTAATTACCTGTTTTCCATGGAAAATCTGTGGTAATGTGAAACCGGGAAGGTCATTTTAGAGTACATGAAAAAAAAATAGGAAAAAATTAAACAAGGAAAACTATTTTCATGCAAAGGTTATTATGGAAGAATTGATATATGCACACATACACAAAGAAGAGTGAAATGAAGTACGCATATATAAAGGTTAAAAGGAAGATTTTCATTTTTGTTTTTTTGTTGTTTTGAGACAGAGTCTCATTGTGTCACCCAGGCTGGAGTGCAATGATGCAGTCACAGGTCACTGCAGCCTTGATCTCCTTGATTCAAGCGATCTTTCCACCTCAGCTTCCCAAGTAGCTGGAACCATAGGCACATGCCACCATAATGGGCAAATTATTTATTTATTTATTTATTTTTTAAAGGGATGGGGGCTCACTATGTTGCCCAGGCTGGTCTCGAACTCCTGGGCTCAAGCAGTCCTCCCACCTCAGCCTCCCAAAGTGCTGGGATTACAGGAGTGAGCCACTGCACCTGGCTGAAAGGAAGATTTGGAATTACAAAGTAAATGTTGAGTTGAAAGGGAACTAGTAAGACTTGGGCATTTAGGTTTAACCTAAGACCTTGTTACCTTCACTTTATTACTAATCTCTGTCAACATAGAGGTAAACTCTGTTAACTCCTACTTTATCTGTTACTTCTTTGCACACAAATTGTTCTGGAGTGGGCACTTTTGTGGGAAAAGATTTGCAGTTTGCTTTGAAAAAAGTTTTCACAGAAGTTATTTTTAGAACATAAAATATTTTCCCCTCTCTTCCAGTGTCATGAAATATATTAACTTTTAGGATTTTTCTGTTTGTTTTTAAAGTTGAAGAAAATCCAGAAGGTACCATTTCTGTGAACCAAGTTAAGCAAGAACCCAAAGAACCAGCATTGTCTATGGAAGCAAAAAAAAATTGTGGACTATAAGAAATTATCTGCTATATAAATTATTGAAGCTTTTCAGAATTTACAACTCTGGTGACTTCTGATGTCTTAGAAAAGAAGGTGAATATAGTCAAAGCGTGGCATTGAGATAATTGGACTGAAGACCAGTTTGATGAGAAGCTTTTATTTAAAACTGATGTATTTGTTGCCAGTTCCATATTTTTACCTTCCTTAAGAGATGTTTTACTCTTCTTATTTTGTATAATTTTTATGCTCTTTGATTATCTAATAAGGCCAGTATTTCAAAAGCTCTTTTGAACTTATCCACAGTAATACAGTCTGGACACAAATAGTTTAGTTAACTTATCCTTGGAAATACTCAATTTTGGTTCTTACAAAACAGAAAAGATCAACAGCAACAGCACCATTGTGTGAATGTATGTTTGTATGTGTGTATGTATATCATGAATTTTTTTAAGTTCTGAAGAAACTTGTTCTCTCTTTAAAGTTGTGAAGAAATTTTTAATTGCCAGACAGGTAAGAAAATGTTTATAATCTATCTCATTAAGAAAGATGAAGTATTCGGTTTTACATCATAACACAAAGTCCAGCAGCTATATCTGCAGAGACTGTGCAGTTGCATTTTAGCCACTTCCCTTCTAATTTTTGTACTTTTAACTACAAACCAATAGTATATTAGTGGTTATCCAATAGAAATTTAAAGTGTCTTGGTAAGTACTGAGGATTTTTACTTGAATTAATCAGATAAGCAACAGAAATCAACATATGTAGCATGGCTTTGTGCTAAATTGGAAGTAAAATACTATAGGTAGAAAGATGTAGAAATTGAGAGAATTGAAAAAAGAATAATAGAATTCCTTGGTGTTTACAGATAATTTGGGAAACTTTTTGATGACAGCAGAGGATTTTTTTCCCCCTTATTTTGTAATGAAGATCCAGCGCTGGTTAAAAAATAATTTGATTTGTAGTTACATTTTTCTATGCCAGAGCTCTTACTGAATTGATGGGGTATTAGGATTTCTAGTATTTTAAGGTAAGTATTTATAGTTTAAAATTTAGTTTATATTTAAAACTTTAAAACATCTGATCTGGGATATTTTCTTTGTTAAGTAAGTATATTAACTTCAAATACCAAATAAGTACTAAGCAGTATATTCATTATAAGCATCTGTTGTCTAAAGATTGGTACTAGGCTGGACATGGTGGCTCATGCCTGTAATCACAGCACTTTGGGAGGCCTAGGTGGGTAGACCACCTGAGGTCAGGAGTTCAAGACCAGCCTGGCCAACACGGTGAAACCCCATTTCTACTAAAAATACAAAAATTAACTGGGTGTGGTGGTGGGCGCCTGTAATCCCAGCTACTTGGGAGGCTAAGGCAGGAGAATCGCTTGAACACTGGAGGCGGAGGTTGCAATGAGCCAAAATCGCGCCATTGCACTCCAGCCTGGGCAACAAGAGAGAAACTCCATCTCAAAAAAAAAAAAAAAAGATTGGTAAACTAGAAATATCAACTATAATTTCAGGAAATTAACCTAAAGGCTTTTGTTTCTCCAGAGACCATTTGTGGGTATATTTTATATTTTAAAAATAAAGATTTTAAATGGATATCAATGTTTAATATTCAAAGCATGCACAATATAATATCAAATTTAACCTTAATACTTTACATGAATATGAGTCACTTTTGGCTTTTCTAAGTCCAGCCTCCCATTCTTAATTGATTTTGTTTCAGGTACATGACATGTATCTAAATATAAAGTACTGTTATAGTAGAGGTAGGTGGAATTCTAATATTCGTTGCTCTTTAGATTTATATTTTATTTAATGTAAAGTTTATTATTTATACCCTTTTTAATGCAAAGCTAATATTTAGTTATGTATGGTTTTTAATAAAAATTACTTTTCTTTTTCCTATGAATTGAAAATATTTGATGTTGGCATTTTATACAGGCAGGTTGCCAAATTTGATTATGTTACGCTAAGTTAAACACAACTCTTAATTACCTCAAATCCAGATTTCTCTTAGTCTGTGTGTATATAAAAGGAATAAGTCCAAATTAATTTATAGTTTAGTGTTGCACTGTAGGTAATATTCTTTTCATTTGTTGTTTCTAGTTTTTATGGAATCCTTTTCTTTCAAGATTCTAAATAATAAATCTTTACCTCTCAATAGTGATAATAGTGGTAATGGTTTATTATTAGCTATTTCACCAATTGAACTCAGTCTTTTGGAGGCATTCCTTTCTTTTTTGATGTTGAGCTGCTAAGGAGAAGTGCTTGTTAATACACAAATTCTAGTCAGTTACCTGTGAGGATGAGACGTGCCAGAGGACTCAAACTTTGGTATAGTTAGAAAAATAATATTTTTCTCACTTCATTCTATGTGAATGTCTCTTCTGATACTGTTTTTTAATCAGACAGAAAGTTACAGAGCAACTTTCCCACAAATAAACCAAAAAACAAAACCCCACAAAAACCAAGAGCATGAAGAAAAGTTTAAATCCCTAATTATATACTCTTTTGGTTTTTAGGTAGAAACTGGAGCTATCAATATTTTCATGTAAGTATTTCAATGAGTAGCTCTTTAAAAATAATTTTTAAATGAGATTTTAAAAATCCATTGTCATCTAAATGCATGTTTAGTCACAGTGTATCAGTATTGTGTTTAAAGGTGCTCAGCATCACTTTTTGAAAACTATGTTTACATACTTAAAATGTTTAATTATTTTGAAATGTATAGAGTATTAAATACAAGCTCCTAAAATTTTCAGTATCTATATTGGCTTTCTCTAACAGCTCTACAGCAAAGTTTGACATGTTTTTTGTGTGTGTCATGTATTGTAAGGTGTAATATCTGTAGGTGTGAGTTGGACATTCAAAATTAGCAGTAAGAAATTCACAATTACAGCTCAGCTTATTTATTCATTATAGTTTTCACATTCCCAACTTCCAAGTGAACTTTGTATATACTACAGTGAATTATAGATAAACACAGCCATGGTGGATCTTTCCCTCAATAGTGATTTTCTGTACAAACAATTAGTAGACTTAAAAGGAAAAGCTTTTATATCTTATGCAAGGTAAATGTTTCCTAAATGTCACAAAAGTGATAGAAAACAGCTTTTGGGATCTGGTCCTGCATTAGAGTTTCTAATTCTGAGGCCCACCAGCTTGTGTTTCATCTTCTTTATATCCTGTCAGAATACATACTTAATCATGTGGGTATTAGAAAGATGTTGTTTAACTTGTACCAGGTTTAAAAAAAAGAGGTTTAAAAAATGTGTGTGCATATGTATATATATATAGCAACTTGATGTATAGTGTCCTTGTTGTCATGTATTTTTTTCATTAAAAATCCTTTTTTTTTTCTTATACTTGTTAGTTTTCTTTTTATATTTTTCTTAGAGATAGTGGCAATTTTGTTCATCTTGAAGATGCTGAATAAACACTTGAATACCTGAGAATTTTGGCCAGAGATTTATGTCCAGTTTGGAAGCTGAAAGTTTTAAGCATAACTACCAGTAACTCCTGTTAGCATTACGTTTTGGGGAGATATATATGCATTTAATACCCTGCAACTCAGCCAAGCATCAACATTTTAAAACAATGTGTGTAATAAGTAATTATTTCCGCCTCCCCCCCCCCGCCCCCGCCATGTTTTGGCACCATGACATTTTCAAGTACAGCTTTATATTTTAGGAGTAATGACAAAGTATGTGATCAAAAGTGAAGGGATTATTAATTTTTCCCTCTTTGCTTTTTTTAAAACTTTTTTCCACTCTGTACCTGTTTTTGAACACCTTGGAAATCTTAATCTCTCCAGAAGGGATACTGCATTGGCTCTTCTCCATCAGCTGGCTTAGACATCAAACATTTTAAATGATACACTGTTTTAATATCTAAAAATCTATCTTTCTACTTAATTAACTTAGTCATAAGGACAAAGCCTTAGTATACTTTTGCCACATACATGTTATCTATGAATTTTACTGTTGAATAATACAAGTATTCATTACTGACTGAATTCTTAAAACTTTGGGAATAGAAAAAACTCATTTATTAATGGATGCTAAAGTGATTCCTGAGAAAAATAAATAATTTGTATGGTTAATATGGAAAACCTTTGGTAATGTGATATGCGTATAAGAATACTAAAACCCAGAGTACAGAGTGTGAATCATGTACCAGGAGGGATTTTATTTTTAAATATCTTGAGGTATAATTGAAATACAATAAACTGTACATATTAAAATACCCAATCTGATAAGTTTTGGCATATGTATACAGCCACGAAGTCATCACCATAAGCAAGGTAATGAACATATTCATCACTCTCAAAGTTTCATAGTACCTTTTTGTGATCCATTCTTTCTTAATCCTCCTTGCCCCTGACCCCACCATCACCAGACCACTGATCTGCTTTCTTTAAGATCAGTTTGCTACAAATGAAATCATATAGTATATAGTATGATCCTTTTTTGGTCTGGCTTTTGTCACTCAGCATAGTAATTTTGTAATTTGTCCATATTGTAGCATTTATGAATAAATCATTTATTTGCTGCTGAGTAGTATTACATTTTATGAATATATCATAATTTGTTTATTCTTTTGATGATAGACATTAATAGTTCTAGGCTATTATGAATAAAGTTTCCATGAATATCTGTGTACAAGTCTTTGTATAAACTTATGCTTTCATTTCTCTTGGGCAAATATCTAGGAGTAGAATACCTGAGTCATATGTTAGGTATATATTTAACTTTTTAACAAACTGCCAAATGATTTTCCAAAGTGATTGTGACAATTTATATTCCCACCGACAGTGTATGAAAGTTCCAGGTTCTCTATATCCTAGCCAACACTTGTTATGAACAGTTTTTAGGTTTTAGAGATTTTAATAGGTGGGTAGTAGTATCTTACTGTGGTTTTAATTTCCATTTCTCTAATAACTGACCACTACTGAGCATCTTTTCGTGTTGTATTTGCCATCTCTATCTCTGTATCTTCTTTATTGATGTGTCTGAATCTTTTGCCCACCTTTTTTTAAAAAAAAAGAAAAGACCGGGTCTTGCTCTATCATCCAGGCTGGAGTGCAGTGGTGTGATCTCAGGTCACTGTAACCTCCGCCTCCCAGGCTCAAGTAATCCTCCTACCTCAGCCTCCCTAGTAGATGGGATTACAGTCATGCACACCATGCCTGGCTAATTTTTTGTAGAGATGGAGTTTCACCATGTTACCCAGGCTAGTCTCAAACTCCTGGGCTCAAGCAATCCACCTACCTTGGCCTCCCACAGTGCTGGGATTACAGGCACGAGCCATCGTGCCCAGCCTCGCCTACTTTTATTTTTGTTTTCTTATTTGTTTTTTATTCTTTTTTTTTTAACCACAACCAGCATCATAGCTCACCCACTTTTAAATTGTTTTTTTTTTTTGGAGATGGAGTTTTGCTCTTGTCACCCAGGCTAATGTGCAATGGCACGATCTCGGCTCACTGCAACCTCTGCCTCCCAGGTTCAAACAATTCTCCTGCCTCAGCCTCCCAAGTAGCTGGAATTACAGGCGCCCACCACCACACCTGGCTAATTTTTATATTATTAGTAGTGACGAGGTTTCACCGTGTTGGCCAGGCTGGTCTTGAACTCCCAATCTCAGGTTATCCACTCACCTTGGCCTCCCAAAGTGCTGGGATTACAGGCATGTGCCACCACACCCAGCTAATTTTTGTATTTTTTAGTAGAGATGGTGTTTCGCCGTGTTGGCCAGGCTGGTCTCTGCACTCCTGACCTCAGGTGATCTGCTGGCCTCCCAAAGTACTGGTGCTGGGATTACAGGCGTGAGCCAACGTGCCCAGCTCCACCTGTGCTTTCAACTGACTACAAATCTGAGAGGTTCTCACATCCCCTTTTAGGTTTGATAATTTGCTAGAACAACTCACAGAACTCAGCAAAGTGCTATACTTAAAACCACAGTTTTATTAGAAAGGATACAAACCAGAAATGACCAAATGAACAGATACATAAGATGAGGTCTGTGAGGGTCCTGAATGCAGAACCTCTGTGCCCTCTCCTTGTAGAATCAGGACGTGTTATTCACTTTTCATATCAATGTATTCACCATGTCCAGAGTTTTCATGGGGGTTTTATTACATAGGCATGATTGATTGAATCATTGGCCCATGACTGAACTCATTCTTCAGTCCTCCTGTCTTTCCTGGAGGACTGAAGGCTGGGTTGATATCATTGGCTCAAAGCCCCAACCCAATTAGATGTTTGGTTTTTCTAGCATGACCAGCTTCCATGCTATCTAGGGGCCCACTATGTGTCATCTCATTGCATATACTCAGATGTGATTCAAGGCGCTCATGAATAACAAAGACAGTCATAGTAATTGGGAAATTCCAAGATTCACTGTCAGGAACCACAGACAAAGGAAAGTCAAATTCTTTATTATATAGCAGTGTAATGCATAGTTTTGTTGTTTTAATTGTGGACACCTACTTTAGTCTCAGATTTGTTACCATGTCATTATGCTAGGTCCATCTCATTTTTCTTCAAGGCTATTGTGTGAAGTGCAACATGTTTTATATATTAAGTGTATTAACCCTCTGTTACTTTTCCTGGTTTGTAGTTTGCTTTTTAATTTTGATGACTTCTGTGCTTAAACAATTCTCCTCCTTCAACTAGAAAGCAGATAAACATTTATCTAAAATTTCCTATAGCTTTCCTATGTGTTTTTAGTATAGTGAAATTATTTTGTTGCGGAGGATACGTTTAAATTGATATTTTTTCAATTAACCAATCCTCCCAACATGATGGGGGTTTTTTTCCCCTCTCTTCCAATAGAAACCTAACTCCCAACACAATGGAATGAATTTTTCACTTTTTTTGTTTTGTTTTGTTTTGAGACAGAATCTCGCTCTGCCACCCAGGCTGGAGTGCAGTGGCGCGATCTCGGCTTACTGCAAGCTCCGCCTCCCGGGTTCACCCCATTCTCCTGCCTCAGGCTCCTGGGTTCAAGCAATTCTCCTGTCTCAGCCTCCTGAGTAGCTGGGATTACTGGCGCAAGCCATGAAGCCCGGTCAGTTTTTGTATTTTTGGCAGAGACAGGATGTCACCATATTGGTCAGGCTGGTCTCGAACTCCTGACCTCAGGTGATCCACCCGCCTTAGCCTCCCAAAGTGCTGGGATTACAGGCGCGAGCCACCACGCCCGGCCAGTTCTTTATCTTAATGCATGATATGTGTCTCTGAATAGTTCTTTATTATACAGGGGTATCTGAATTTTAGCTGCTCTGGAAGATGGCTATCTTTTTGATGTGGCTCTTTGGACTTCCTAAAGTGGATTTTCATGTGAACCACAAAACCTACAAGTTCGATCATCATAAACATATGCCCCTAAGTTTGGTGAACATTTTTGGTCATTTTTGTATGATTCAGTTAGAGACTTGATTTAACTTAAATTGATCAACTCAAGGGAAACTTACCTTGTGTTTGGCGATCCAGATTTAAACTTAATGTCACTGTCTTGTCTAATGTCATAACTAGATTTTCTTCTATGTTCCACTTAATTTTCAATTTTCATATCAGAACAAATTATTTGATAATCTTAGGTACATTTAAAGTCATTGGGTAACTACATGTGATTCAATAGTGACACTAAGTAAATATCTTTTTAAGACTTTGGAGTCAGACAATTCTGCCCTTTCCAGATGACCTGGGGAAAATTATTGACCACTTTGGACCTCTTCATCTAAAAAGAAATGGACACGAAATTCCCCATTCTTTACAACCTGCCTACTTGTTTCAAAGGTGAATTTAAAAAGTGAAAAATGTGGCCAGGTGCGGTGGCTCACGCCTGTAATCCCAGCACTTTGGGAGGCCGAGATGGGCAGATCACGAGGTCAGGAGACCATCCTGGCTAATACGGTGAAAGCCGGTCTCTACTAAAAATACAAAAAAAAATTAGCTGGGTGTGGTGGCAGGCGCCTGTCGTCTCAGCTACTCAGGAGGCTGAGACAGGTGAATTGCTTGAACCCAGGAGGCGGAGGTTGCAGTGAGCTGAGATCGCACCACTGCACTTCAGCCTGGGCAACAGAGTGAGAGTCTGTCTTTAAAAAAAAAAAAAAAAAGACTGAAAACAGTGGGTTCAAATAGGAACACCAAATTGAAGGTCACAGGGAAGATGCTGATTTGAGATCATGTGGCTTCACACAGGCAAATCCATGCATTGTGCTTTAGGGTGAAGCAGCATGGATTCATTTGTTTGAATGATGTCAATGATGGTTAATGAATTTTAGGAGGAACTCTGAGGAAGCCAGCTGGTTGCTAATACAAATATCAGTGGAATAGTATCTTTTCCCTTTTTTCTCTTCTTG